TCCTTTATATGGATACTTCGTTGACAAGGGTTTTGGCACCTTAATTTATCTGTTTGTTGGTTTTCTCATGACTTCATTGGGCTATTTGGGTCTCTATCTTTTCCAATTCTTAGACAATTCAGTATTCAGTTTGACTTTACTTGAAATCTTGCTATTCATCACCAGTTGTTCATGCTGTGCAGTTTTTTCAACCTTAATCCCGACTTTAATTGAAGTTTATCAGGCAAGTGTTCAAAATGATGATGAAGATGTGGCAAGTGAAGCGTCGGCCATCTTCTTAGTTTGCACTAACTCTGGTCTCTTTTGGGGAAGTGCAGTTTGCGGAGGCTTTTTGAAAGACGCCGTTGGATTTTACAACTCGATTCTTGTCATGTGCTGCATGACTTTAGCTGGAGGAGCAGTCAGCGGAACATACTTTTGGAAGATGAAGTCTTTCTGCCGCAAAAGAAAAAGTCAGAGAAATGAAGAATATGAAAAAACAGCATTATTCAAGCCGCTGTTAGGAAAATGATTTTTGCCAAATGGCTTTTTTCCGAATTCCACTCACGTTGAAAATTGTTCATTTTCCAAATACTTATGCATGCGTTAGGTTTAGGACTAGAACTCTTTGTTTTAGATATAAAAACAAACGTGCCCAGAAACTTTAGTTTGTTTACCATGCATTTTTTTTTATTTTATGACAACACTCAAGTTTTTAAAGCAAAAACTCAAACAGGCAGGGAAAATTGAAGGGAGCCAATCAAACATTGAAATTTTTCGCGATTATTTTTTGAAGTGATATCAGTTAAACCAATCAGGATCAATGAACAAAATATCATTTTAACAGTAACTTATGTTTATAGTTTCATTTAAAGTTTGTCATTTATGCGAAACTAAGTATTGAGCCAAAACTAACTGTTAAATGTTGCCAGCAAAAACTAGGGATCTTCTTCACAATCTCTCCCCTCTTTCAAGAAAATGGAGGGTGAAGAATGATCAGTAGATTCCTGATTTTTGCTGAAAACATTCAACAGCTAGTTTCTGCTCAAAACTCAAAACCCAGAAGTTGTGTGGTCATTATGGATACTTCGTTGAAAAGGGTTTTGGCATATACATTTTACAGTGTTGATCTCCTCATGACGTCATTGGGATATTTGGCCTTCTAAAGTAAATTGGTGCCATTTTTTGTAAGTCGTTAAAGTAATTCTCTAGAAACTGTGAAATTTTTGCAAAAAAGCAAAATTTACATTATTGTCTCAAAATTTATAACAAAAACCCGAATTCCATGTACTTTCATAGTTGCTGTTCTTTGTTGAACAGGAACTAGGAACCAACAAACTACATAAATATTAAAACGCTATGATCAAAGTTAACCAGATACAAAAACACAAAGGTGCCCTCAAATAGTAAGCACCAGTATTTGCGACTAAGGTTGAAAAAAGTGGTTTCTGTAACATGACACTACGCTCCGTTTGTCAAAACAAAAACTACTGGAAACTTTATTTGCGAGTAATTATAAGTCGTTAAGTATTAAATGATCTTGTTCTGTTCAATGGCGGAGAAAACAATTTCTGGGTCCATTTCTTCCCAATTACCACGAGGAGCGAGGTGTGTCAGTGACTGTGAATGGAATCATTTTCGGTGCGTCTCCCGTAGGCGAGGCCTCATCCGCCTTTTTCACATTTCAATTTCTCTTGTCAAGTAGAAACAAGAAACTTCTGGCGCTATCTGGCATGCTAATGGCAGGTTTCTCCCAAATTTTATTCGGCTTGCTAAAAATCTTAGTTCCAACCAACAATTATGTCTACACAACATTAGCCATAGCTTTAAGGTTTGCAGTTGGATTCGGGATCGGTGCGAATTTCTCTACAGGTACGCCGATATTCCTGAAACTTTTCCCGGAAATGCGCGGTCGCGTTTGCAGCTACTTTGTTGCCGCCGTGGCAGTAGGCGGTGTCGTGGGTCCGACATTGGGTAGTGTTCTCTATTCTTGGGGTGGCTTCCCGATACCATTTTGGGTGGTGGGTTTCTATTCTGTCATTTTAGCAGTTATCGGAGTATTCATTATTCCCAAACAAAAATTCCCGAAGCCTTCAAAAATAGAGACAGCCAGTTTCATCTCAAAACCCGGAGTTTGTGTGGTCATCATTTCTTCTATTCTACCTATAGCGGCAATGGGTTTCTTTATACTGACTCTTTCGCCTTTCTTGCTAGAAAATTACGGCATTGCCGTCTCGGGAGCTGGTCTGTTTATGGTTCCTTTACCACTTGCGCGTGCTATAATTTCTCCTTTATATGGATACTTCGTTGACAAGGGTTTTGGCACCTTAATTTATCTGTTTGTTGGTTTTCTTGGTTGGTTATCTTTTCCAATTCTTAGACAATTCAGTATTCAGTTTGACTTTACTTGAAATCTTGCTATTCATCACCAGTTGTTCATGCTGTGCAGTTTTTTCAACCTTAATCCCGACTTTAATTGAAGTTTATCAGGCAAGTGTTCAAAATGACGATGAAGATGTGGCAAGTGAAGCGTCGGCCATCTTCTTAGTTTGCACTAACTCTGGTCTCTTTTGGGGAAGTGCAGTTTGCGGAGGCTTTTTGAAAGACGCCGTTGGATTTTACAACTCGATTCTTGTCATGTGCTGCATGACTTTAGCTGGAGGAGCAGTCAGCGGAACATACTTTTGGAAGATGAAGTCTTTCTGCCGCAAAAGAAAAAGTCAGAGAAATGAAGAATATGAAAAAACAGCATTATTCAAGCCGCTGTTAGGAAAATGATTTTTGCCAAATGGCTTTTTTCCGAATTCCACTCACGTTGAAAATTGTTCATTTTCCAAATACTTATGCATGCGTTAGGTTTAGGACTAGAACTCTTTGTTTTAGATATAAAAACAAACGTGCCCAGAAACTTTAGTTTGTTTACCATGCATTTTTTTTTATTTTATGACAACACTCAAGTTTTTAAAGCAAAAACTCAAACAGGCAGGGAAAATTGAAGGGAGCCAATCAAACATTGAAATTTTTCGCGATTATTTTTTGAAGTGATATCAGTTAAACCAATCAGGATCAATGAACAAAATATCATTTTAACAGTAACTTATGTTTATAGTTTCATTTAAAGTTTGTCATTTATGCGAAACTAAGTATTGAGCCAAAACTAACTGTTAAATGTTGCCAGCAAAAACTAGGGATCTTCTTCACAATCTCTCCCCTCTTTCAAGAAAATGGAGGGTGAAGAATGATCAGTAGATTCCTGATTTTTGCTGAAAACATTCAACAGCTAGTTTCTGCTCAAAACTCAAAACCCAGAAGTTGTGTGGTCATTATGGATACTTCGTTGAAAAGGGTTTTGGCATATACATTTCACAGTGTTGATCTCCTCATGACGTCATTGGGATATTTGGCCTTCTAAAGTAAATTGGTGCCATTTTTTGTAAGTCGTTAAAGTAATTCTCTAGAAACTGTGAAATTTTTGCAAAAAAGCAAAATTTACATTATTGTCTCAAAATTTATAACAAAAACCCGAATTCCATGTACTTTCATAGTTGCTGTTCTTTGTTGAACAGGAACTAGCAACCAACAAACTACATAAATATTAAAACGCTATGATCAAAGTTAACCAGATACAAAAACACAAAGGTGCCCTCAAATAGTAAGCACCAGTATTTGCGACTAAGGTTGAAAAAAGTGGTTTCTGTAACATGACACTACGCTCCGTTTGTCAAAACAAAAACTACTGGAAACTTTATTTGCGAGTAATTATAAGTCGTTAAGTATTAAATGATCTTGTTCTGTTCAATGGCGGAGAAAACAATTTCTGGGTCCATTTCTTCCCAATTACCACGAGGAGCGAGGTGTGTCAGTGACTGTGAATGGAATCATTTTCGGTGCGTCTCCCGTAGGCGAGGCCTCATCCGCCTTTTTCACATTTCAATTTCTCTTGTCAAGTAGAAACAAGAAACTTCTGGCGCTATCTGGCATGCTAATGGCAGGTTTCTCCCAAATTTTATTCGGCTTGCTAAAAATCTTAGTTCCAACCAACAATTATGTCTACACAACATTAGCCATAGCTTTAAGGTTTGCAGTTGGATTCGGGATCGGTGCGAATTTCTCTACAGGTACGCCGATATTTCTGAAACTTTTCCCGGAAATGCGCGGTCGCGTTTGCAGCTACTTTGTTGCCGCCGTGGCAGTAAGTTTCAAGAAACTGTAAGTTTCAAGAACACAAAAAACGGCAAACCGCAGCGTTATAACGCAAGAAAATGCATATCAAGTCTGATAAGAAAGAGATATTTAAAGTAGAAAAAAATTTAGCCAGGAAAATGGAGTTTGGAAAAAAGACAAGGATCGAACCTGTGGCCTCCAGATTAAAAGTCATTGTTTTTCCTCTGAAATATCTACCTGGCCAACTTAGGTGGTTAATAGCTTGTCTAATAGTTGATAACAGGCAGCAATGAACCCGCTGTAATAGAGCAGGAAAAAAAAGACTAGGTTGCACAGTAGCTTTAAATAGCACATTTTTTGTATGTAATAATTTGGAATGTATCAAAATAAAGGCCTCCACAATAACTTTCAATGTCAAAGCTTATGTAATTATACTGCTAAAGCAGCCAACTGAATCAAAAGTGCCACCAAAAGTAGCACTTTCATTTGCGACCAAGGTTGGAAAAAAATAAGTTGGATCATACTATCACACTATGCTAAGCTCGTGTACGCAAAGTGTTAAGCTATTTCTGATATATTTATGTCTGCATATTGACACTTTGCAACTTTTTTGAGAAAACAAAACATGCCATCTTTAAGTTCCAATGAGTAAAATATGTATCATGGTGTATCATTGATAAAAATAACCGGATCAAAAAATCACCGATTGAATTTTTGACTATCTAATCTGATTTTAACTTTTCATTTGAACGCTTGAAAAATTGTTGAATCCTCTTTTGCTTTAATTTGGAGTTCTTCTTTAATAAATTATTTGCTAATGTGGCTATTAATATATAAAAAACATAATCATGACCGAAACCTCAAGTTACACTAATAACTTTCAAAAAGGATAAAAACAAATACAGCAAACCACATGTTTTAGTTCATGCCAAATTGCTGGCAATATCGTTGACCTTGAGCAAATTTAAAACTCAAAAATAAGATCAGTTCTAGGTTAATTAGTTATGGATACGGTTTTTACGTGTAGAAATCAAGGATAGATATACTGAAATCGGACGTCGAAATCCGAGGTCGAGCAGATTAAGGTCAAATTCCTTGACCGAAAAAATATTTGCCAACAATTTGGCACTAACTATTTAACTTCAGAGCCCTTTTGAGATTTTGCAAACTGCTCAAAAAATGTCCATTCAACAGATAGAATGATGTTGTAGAGTCCATTTTCAGACATTCTAAATTCCTCCGAAGTTTTTCCATAGCTTGACCTTGCTGATCAAAGACTTTTTCGTGGTTCAATTCTCTTATCACAGAAGCACAGACATCAATGAGTCGAAAGCTCTCTTTGTAGGTGTTCAGCTCCGTTCTCTCGAAGAGCACCTCTTGGTCGTCAACTGCTAATTCTTCATTCGCGAATGTTTCCATCAGCCCCGAGTATTCCTACAAACAAAGTGGCACCTCTGTTTAAAACTCAACTTAATATAAATTCATTTTTTTTCTTTCTGAGGTCATCTTTTGAAAAAAAAAAACATTTATTGGGCTATGTCAGATTGGAAAACATGCGTGTTTAATTTTAAAGTTTCTATGCAAAACGCGCACGCAGACGAATTATCGCATTCTCAAAATCATCACAATGGAGAAAAGATCTTTTTAAACCCAAAATTAGCTAATTATGTAAATTAGATTTTATATTAAGAAGCAAAATTCATAAACAAATGTAAGTAAAGATGGTGATCTTGGCCGATATTTCACTTTTGTTTAAATAAGAAAGGAATAAAAAAAACGATGCCATTCAAGGCGAATCAAGTTATGGAAGCCCTAAAATTATCAGGATAGTAAAACTGGAAAACTGGAGGTTAATTTAACAACTAATTTTTTAGGCATTTAGCTTAAATTGTAGCACATTTCACTGGACCAGTTGAAAAAAAACAGCAGAAAAAAGCGAAATATTCAGTGGAATTGAAAAAAAAATAAGGCGAAGAATCAGAATTAAACTAACCAGTTCTGAGAGTGCCAATTGGGCAAATACTTCCACGGTGTCTTCATCATTGTACCGACTGCGCAAGTAGGTGGAGATCAAGTCGAGGAGCTTCGCAGAGGAATAAACGCACTCTGAAACAAGTCACACTAAAATAATCACCAATTTTTTTTTTGACGAAAAACGGCAAAAATTTATCAAATCATGTTCAAGCACTCACCAATTTCTTGACCAAAAATGCCTAACATTTATTCTTTTTTTTTGCATATCCTGGGTCTTATGAAAAAAATATATTAAAAGGAAATAACATCTACTTTAACTAAATGAATTCAAACTCAAAAAATCATCATCAGTATTTTATTTTACCAATTTTTTTTCTGACTCAAAATCTAGTTTTAGGACTGATGTATCTGAAGAAGCATTACCGTTACTAGCATTCCGATTCTTTTCCCAAAGTATTTGAAGAGACAGCTTTTCACATGCAATTTTTCTAATATCCGGGCAATCGTCAAACATCAGTGCAGTAATACACGCCCAAATAGTACTACGAATCATCGTCACTTCTGACGCATTTTCAAAATTATCTAACTGGTCTAAAAATTCCAAATCGATATTTATCACTTCGATGACAGAACTTCGCAATAACTCGCTTTCTTCGGGTAAAGAGCAAGAAAGCAAAAGATTCGCAAACTTCAAGGTCAATTTTGGGATCAGCGAAGCCAGTAATTTGATCACATGTGGCTTACATTCTTCAGGATATTGCATGAAAGTTTCCAGCAGACCGATTGATACTTCAGCCGATTTAACTATTAGAAGATCGGTAGCAACAGCTACATCACAAGCCTTCATCGTGATTTCGGTTTCAAAAGGGTCGGTTGATTGAACAGCATCTGCTAGCCAGTGTGTAAGAAAACTATTCGACTCCATGTACTCCAAGACTCCAGCATCTTTGGTTTTGGCTGAGCTTCGAAGAGTATCCAGCATTGATGAAATTTGGGATACAGTCATCAACTTGAAATTCCTTTCGTTGAACGTTTCGAAATTTGAAACAACGCTTGTTTTTATTTCAGGGGCGAGTTTCGATGACAATTTTGATAGACATTCGCCAACCAGGGGGCTGAAAAAATTGAACGTTAGTACTTTTGAAATCAAATTTAAATGCTACTAAAAATATGTTCATATAATTCTCAGCAAAAGCAGGGCTCGTTGTCATCACAGCCTCTAGACAAGTGGAAAAAAAAGGAAAACAAATTATATTAACCAAGCAGTAATTTTTAAAAAGTGCAACGTCTGTAAAAAGCCCGATGATAAAATTGGTTAAAACCACAAAATAAAAAAAGAAGACTGACCACTGTGGTTTTTTCTGCAAGTTAGCAGCTAGTTGACTGACAGCTGTGACTAAACCAGGCCCCAGAGAATCGAGCAGATCGGCCAACTCTGCTGCTCCCAGACAGGATAACACAGTGTTCACCTGAAACACAATTTTAATTCTCAGATATAGCAAACACAGTTGAAAAAGAGTCGATGAACGCAAGTAAACAGAAAAAAATATTGACTTGCTTTTGCAAAATCTCAATTTTCGAATTTCAAAGAAAAAAATTGATGGCCTTAAAGTTCTTTGAAATTCTAGAACAATTTATGAGTTACACTTTTTTGATTAAACTAATTTTGTGATTTTTATCTTACTCCGGTTGGAAATCTTAAAATAAAATTGAACTTTCGAAACTAGAAGTCGATCATGTTTTTCGTGACCCTTAGACTTTCGTAATTGGAGAGCGCAACTTACCTTAGCGGATTTAGGGGCGGTCACCCCCCCCCCCCCCCCCCCTCCTCAGGGATTCGACCCCATGCCGACCCAAAGGGTCCCCTTTTGTACTATTTTGGTCTCCCTTTGCTACTAATTTGTGGCTGATTGACCCTAAAGTTTTTCTAAAGGCGCCTTTAGCGCCATTATATACTAATTTTGAGGGGGGAGCGCGCGCTGAAAAAAACGCGATTTTTTGGTCAAAATTTTTTTAAAAGGTTCCTAAAAACTCCTTTTTTGGCCTGTTCTCAAAAACTTGCCTGCAGCGCAGAAAATTTGATCAAAATAGGTCTTTATAGTTAATAGAATTATTTTTGAAAATACGCCCCCCCTCTCGAGAAAATCCTAGATTCGCCCCTGCCTAAGGGCATTTGTATGTGCATTTATAAGTATGAATGCACTTCTTTTGCTATCAGAGCGTTTTAAGACTTTTCCTGAGATAAAAAAATCATCACGAGCTACATAAGAATCTGAACTACATTTATCAACACTAAAAAACACGTAAACGATCACATCCCAAAAGTTTACTTTATCAACAAAACAACTGTCACAAAACTTAGAAGACAAAGATTTCAAGTTCCGGATAGTTCTCGAAAGAGAGTAGCTGTGGTCTTCGGTCTTCATTAATGAAAAAGACTCTGAATTGATAGAAGAATCGTGGCTCAAAGACGAGTCTTTTATTGGGCGCTCTAGATGCCACTCTTATTCTAGAGTTAATACCAAATTGTTGGCAATATCTTTTCGGTCAATGAAACTGAACGAAGTTACTTCACCTAAAACTGCTCATTTTGGAATCATCGAATTCATCTCATTACTGATTTCCACACTTAAAAACGGTTTGCGAAAACTAATTAACTTGAAATGCTTTAAGTTTTGGCCGATTAAACTGCCTAAGGTCATCGATATTGTCAACAATTTTGCATTATTTATAAAAACAGTCCACATGTCACAATGGATGAAAACATACCGTTAGTAGCGTGCCATGTACAGTATTCATACTGACAACAGCACCTTCTGTTTCTATGGACGAAGAGAGACATAGTTGAATCATGGCCCTCATCATGGCCTGGGTGGAGTGTGGAGAGAGGAGGAAGTTGGGGACCACTCTGGCTACTATGGCCCTGATTCGGATCAAGGGCCAGCTGATGAACCTTAAATTCACAATCCAAGTTTCTGGTCTGCATTGCATTGCTACTTTCTTCAAATGTAGTATGTTTTACTGCAAATTGTTGGTGATATGTGTTTGATCAAGGAATCTAGAGTAAATACGAAAAGCAAGACCTAAAAATTGTCTAAGCCTTACTTAAGAGTGAGTGTCAGAAACGGCGCATATTTCTCTTCATTCTCTGTCACATAGAGTCGTTCCAAAAGCAACAAAACCGGATAAAGAACTGCATTTGTAGCCGCAAACTCCGAAGTCGAAAACATATCAGCCGATGTCAACACACAGTGGTCGAATCCAGCTACTGAATCGTCCTTGGGTTTAAGTGGGGACTTGATCATGGCCGAGTAAGGCTTCAAAACCGACTCCAGCTTGCAAATGAGCACGTCATAGAGATCGGGAAACTTTGTGAAGAACTCGGAACAACTCATGCTGAAACACGATAACTTAAGACATTATTACACAAAACTTTTTTTTTAAAAATAATACTTTGGATAAATAAAAATTTTGCCACATATTCTGAATGAATACGCCTGCAATAAGAAAAAAGGTGAGCAAGGTGAGCAGAAACTTTGCATTTGGATTTTTTGCGCATTGTCATGTTAATTTTTTTGATCGGGTTTGCTGCGTAGCAACTGTCCGTCTTCGAGATGAAATCAAAATCACAAAAACATTGTCTAGCAAACCAAACAGGCAACTGAAACGCAACAAAAACTGTTGTTTACGGGAAAAAAAACCTTGTGCCCGATTGCAATACCTTTGCGTATCGCAAGGGTAATAAAATAGCAAAAGATTGGCTGTTTATTGGCTGTTTATGATTGGCAAACTTTTCGTCTAGCTACCCTAAATAGAGAAAAATGGATGAAAGGGTAGTTGTTCTATTCACCATTTTTGAAAATAGAAGTCAGAGCTATTAAAGATGCAAAATGTTTCTTAAGTATTTTTGTTATTTATATCACATAAAATTTGTATTTAAAAAAGAAACCATACGAAGTCAGGGCTATTAAAAATATATATCACAACAATACTTTAAAAAACACTTTGCATCACGACGAAAATAGCTGACCACACAAAAAAATTCAAAATGTGGCAACTAAGCCGTTAAAAAATAAGCAGACAAACGTAATGATTGGAAAGTTTTCATCTAGCTACCCTAAATAGAGAACACTGGATGAATGGGTAGTTGTTCTATTCACCATTTTTGAAAAAAGAAGTCATTCAGGTTTTTCGTGTTCCTCATATTCTTGCTGTTTGATAATGGAAAAACTTACAAAGGAAATAAAGTGAAAATTCAAACCGCCAAACAATATTTGAGACTTTTCCCTGAACAAATAACAAAAACAAAAAAAATAATCACGACCTGTATAAGCGAATATCACCTAATTTTTTAAACAAAAATCTCAATTGCAACACACAGGCGAAGCCCAGCTTCGCATTACTTGCACTACAGTGCAAGCACAGCATTGCAAGCTAGCGAAAATAAAAAAAGATGGTAATAACAAATTATTTTTTTTGGGGGGGGGGGGGGGGATGAAGAAAATTTCAGAAAAATAATCAGGAAGCACAACAAGCAGCATTAAGTATGTCTTTAATTTCTTAACGAGCAGTCAAAAATGCTATTCTTGAGCCTACAACAGCCTCTCTAAACCGCTCTATGAGCCAAAAACAAAAATAAAGCCAACAGACAGTTGAAAAAGAGTGAATGAACGCAATTAAAACAGAAAAAAATACCGATTTGTTTTTTGAAACTTTGAATTTTTAAAACAGGTTACGATGACACTTTTTCGATAAAAATGACCCATCCGAACTATATATGAATCGACTTTTAAAAAAGCCAACCAAAATTGTTGGCCCAAAAATTAATTGAGCAAATAATTTTTATACAGAGGCGAAGGAAGCTGCGCTTCGCAAACATTAGCAAGAATACGACAAAAAACAGCTCTAAAAAGGGCAAAAGGAAAAAGTAGAAATAAGCCTCGAAATAATAAAAAAATTCGGCTACGTCTCGGATTCGAACCTAACACCTACTGCGACAGAAAAATTTTGACTCTCACGCACTAACCACTCAGCGAGAGACGCTTAATTTCTTACAAACCCTAGCTGTCAAACAAATAAAGCAGACAACAGATGCTATGCAATTTCCAATGTTTTATTTGCGAGTTAGGTTAGACAAAAAGAAGTTTCGTACTAATATACTAACGCTCGCAAGCTGGCTAGTGTAAAAACTGAGCTTTTGAAAAACGAACTACTTAATTTTTTTAATCAATCATTGTTTGCCCTTCAACTAAGCCAATAAAATATAAGCCGAAAAAAATTAGGCCGAATGAAGCTTTTAAGCAAAACAGAAATAAAAAAGAAACCATACGAAGTCAGGGCTATTAAAAATATAAATTACAACAATACTTAAAAAAACACTTTGCATCACGACGAAAATAGCTGACCACGCAAGAAATTTTCAAAATGTGGCAACTAAGCCGTTAAAAAATAAGCAGACAAACGAAAGTCCGACAATTCAATTTTTCCCGGAAGAATTGCTATAATTTCATACAAGCTGAAAAAAAACAAGATACGACCGGGACTCCAACAACCGACCTTAGCATACATAGGTAACCGCGTTACTTCTAGGCCAAATGAAAATCAGTCTCGAAACTCCTTAGGTTCACTAATAGAGTAACTTGAACTTCAGATTTAAGAAAATGTTTGACGGAAAAAATGGATTGCATCATTCTGAAATCAGCTATCCACGTAAGAATACTAATTCTGCTACGAAACACCAAACATGGTATCAACTGGCTCTTATTGTCTAAAAATTGGTCTTAAAGGCTTAAAAAAGTATAAGCTGCCTGATTGATTTGCTGAACTTAATCAACCATAATAGATGATTTTTATATTGATTTTGCTCTTTGATCGATTTTGTTCTTTGATTACGAAATATGCGAACTATAACATAGTTTAGCGAACCAGTTCTTGCGTGTGATGATCATGGGATCCGGCAGCACTCCGAACACTCTGGACAGAATAGCTGTGAAGAGGAGGTTGCTCGCATTCTGCACCGGCCACAGCATGGAGTTGAACCCGTCCAGTGACGTCACCAGTCCGTCTGTCACGTGGGTGTGGACCAGTTGGCCAATGTGGCTGCACCGAAACAACGAGCGCAGGACGTTGAGGGCGTGGATCTAAGTTTTAAACGTCTAACATTTTACATTCAGATTTCTCAAAATTGTACGAAGCGGAAAAAAACTATTATTTTTATTATGCTATGGACACTTCTAGAGATAGCTGCTGCATTAGACTTATCAAGAAATCCGTTGAGAATTATACCAAAAGTAAGGGATGATCTAAGAAATGAAAATTCCTGATAATGATGTCAAAGTCTGAAAAAGATGACTGAAAAGCTTTTAATTGAGAAGAATTAGTTGATATTAAATAAAAACAGGACTTATATAAAAAAATCGGTTCTGGTAACCAACTTTTTCCAAAGATCCCCAATTTAGTAATATTTTACAACACCAAACTATATGAAAACAGTTACTATTGAATGATGTTCAAAATCAGTGTTCATACCTTGCATCTCCGCTCTGTTTCCTTCTCTTCGGGTAGCTTTGCAGATTTGAGCAAAGAGAGGAATACTTTGTTCACACGCCGCGGCAGTTCAAGTGGGGGCGAAGTTGTCAGAAGAGCCTAAAAAATTCAGTATTTGTTTAACCAAACCGAATTGACGCCCATCCTTCTCCAGATGTGGGAACAAATACAAGAAAAAGATAGACAAATTGTGAATCTGGAAAATTGCTGTACAGACCTAAGTGATAGAGTGCTGAAATTGGAGAGATACAACAGCAAGGACTGTCTCATTATCTCGAACTTTCCATCAGATCTTTCGCCATCAATTACAGCACAGGCAGTGAATTTCTTGAATAGCATATTCAAAATCAATATAGGATGTGAAAGTATAAAGGCATGTCACTACCTGGGGAACCCCAACGCAGAGAGAGCCATAGTGATAGTCAAATTCGTCTATTTCGAAATCAAGAACATTATTTGGAGGTCAAAGGCAATGTTGAAAGGAGTGACAAACAAATCAAACGGTAAATTTATTTTTATCAATGAGAGACTACCTGAGCCCGATAAAGAGGTGCACATTTATGCAAACAAGGAAAGACAATTGAAGACGGTTACTGACAATTGTGCAGTAAAAATTGAGGTTCGAGGTAATAATGGAAATGGCACTAGGTTCATTGAAGTACGAAACAAAAAGGACGTTGATAGACTCGCAGCAGATGCAGTACCTAGATTCAACCAGAGACCCCGAAGAGAAGCGAATTGCCCATCGCGAAATTGTCTTCCCAATGATTCTTATGGTACACCGGTGCCTAAGTTAGTGAAAAAACCGGATAATTTCTTCGCCACGCCAATATCCACAAGCCTTCCAACACTAAAAAGAGGAAGAGACAAAATCAACTACCGTGAGACAAATGAAAAGGAAACTGAGATAATACAAGAACTACGTGCACGAAAAGGAAACCAAGAAGATATGCTGGACTACATCATGGGTTTTTTAGGAGACACACCAGAAGCTAAGCAGTCCAATATTAGCTCAATCGAAGAAGAGCCCTTTCGTATCGAGAACGAGGAGACCAATGGAAATAAAACACTCCAAGCCTAACCTAACCATAAGTATCATACATATTAATATACGTTCGATTAAAAAACATTTAGATGAATTGGAAGCACTTATTCTTAGTCTTGAGTCTCCGCCCGATATTATATGTTTAACTGAAACATGGCTAACAGACAATGATAAAAATGAAAGTTGGTTAATCAGTGGTTATAATCAATGCTGCACAAAAAGTAGGAAAACTCTTGGCGGGGGAGTCATGATACAAATCAGAAATACCTGTTGTATTTTGAATCAAATAGAAATGCCCTTTGATGAGGGTATAATTGCTACAATATCGAAAAATTATTTTAAGTTCTCAGTGGGTGTTGTATACAACAAACCCAACGCTAACAAAATGCTGTTCGTAGAGAAGTTAGATACTTATTTAGATGAAAATAAATCTATGGATCAGCCAATGATCTTGTGTGGTGATTTTAATATAGATATTATCCAAAACAATCTGCTTACTAAGAATTACCTAAACGCGATCAGCTCAAATGGCTATGAGATTAGCAGTAATGAACCAACTCGAGTTACAGAAAATACGCAAACGTGTTTAGACCACTTTATATTTCAAAATATACCACTGCCTGTTTTGAATGTACTTAAATATGAAACGATATCCGACCATTATCCCATATTATTTGAGTGGAAATTAAAAAGGGAAAATTGTTACGACGAAATACCTTACCGGGATACATCTTTTCTTAAAGCACCTCTTACGGTGTCAAATTTTTTGCAAAATTTACATATAGTTTTGGATAATAATAAACAGTGTTTGTTTGAAATACAGGATGCCAATGTAGCTTTTGAGTTTTTTCAAGGATTGTTTGTAACAACTCTTGATGCCTTTGCTCCTCTGAAACGTAAGAAAAATATACAAAAAACGCGGCCAGTTTGGTTTACCAATAGGCTAGCTAATTTAAGAAACAAACGTAATATAGCCCACAGAAAATGCAAAATCAACCCCGATAATGCTGATTATCTAGCAAAATTTAAGCTGTTAAGATCACAATTTGAAAAAGAAGTTAAGCAATCGAAAAAAGAATTTTACTGGAATAAATTTAAAAATTGTATCAGAGACTCAAGACAAACATATAAACTTTTGAATGATATCAGTGGCAAGAACATCAAATCAAACAAAATCCCACCCCTAAAATCATGCCTTGAAATGAAAGAAAAACCAACAGATGCTGACATTGCGAATAAATTTAATACTTTTTTCACAACTGTAGGGACTATGCTCAAAAATGAAGTTCCTAATGCTGACATACAAGTGGTTGTTAACAATCCCTTTTCTATATTTCTCTATCAAGTAAGCCCTGCAGAAATTGAGAAAATTATTAACAGCTTTGATAATAAGTACTCAGCAGGTGATGATTACGTCAGTAATATAATTGTTAAGACGTCATCCGCGGTTGTGGCGCCTTATCTAGCATTTATCATTAACCTCTCTTTTTTGAAAGGAGTGTTTCCCAATGAACTATGTAAAGCAAAAGTTTTTCCCCTGCATAAGGAAGGTTCGAAAACAGATGAAAATAATTACCGTCCTATATCTCTTCTCATCGTATGGAGTAAAGTTTATGAACGGGCAATGTACAACCGCGTATACTCCTACTTTGAGAATTTTTCTCTTCTGTTTTCAAAACAATTTGGTTTTCGCAATAAGCATAGTACAATTGATGCTTTAGCAGATTTAACCGAAAAAATGAGGCTGGCAACATTGTCAGATTCAATTTATAGTTTCTTCTTAGATTTGAAGAAAGCTTTTGATACTATCGACCATGACATACTAATCTACAAGTTAGAATGTTACGGTATCCGTAGTAATTGCTTGAACTGGTTTGTATCATACTTACGAAATCGCATGCAGCGTGTTGAAGTTAATGGCGTTAGTTCTGCTTGGAACACGGTTGACTGCGGTGTTCCACAAGGATCAATCCTAGGACCATTATTATTTATCATATACATGAATGATGTTCCTCTGACTTGTAAGTCTGCAGAAATAATTCTTTTTGCGGACGATACTAACTTAACAGCGATAGGCTGCACTGTAGAAAATATCCAGTCAGACCTTGAATGTCTGAATAAATGGTTAATAGCAAATAAATTAGTAATCAATATATCAAAAACAGTACAAATGACCGTTAAATCAAGTGCTTCCAATTGCTCTTTCAATTTGAATGCCCTTGATATAACCGTTAAACCTGTGTGCAAGTATTTAGGAATTTATATTGATTGTAAATTGTCCTTTGTCAGTCATGTTGATTTTGTTAAAATGAGACTTGGGAAACAATGTGGCATAATATCAAAATTGAGACATTATGTACCCAGGTACCAACTATTAGAATACTACCGAAGTAATGTTGTCCCTATTTTACAGTACGGAATTCTGGTTTATGGATGCTGTAGTTTCAGTGTTTTGAATCCAATTTTCATTTTGCAAAAAAAAATTTTAAAATTTATATATTTCAGAAAGCGGCAAGATCACTGTGAAGATATATTTGAAAAGAATAAATTACTGACAGTTTTTGAATACCACGTATACGAGCTTCTGAAATTTGTTCTTAAATCTGTAAACCAATTGCACAGCGAAAATTTTCTAAACGAAATGTTCACTTTTCAAAAGTCGGAGAAATTGACAAGGCGATCTAGTGCCAAGTTACTATTGGAACCTCTTTGCAAACGTAAAATCGAAAGATTCTCGATACGATATAGAGCATGCAAATTGTATAATAAAATGAATAGCTTGGGCTTGCTCCCAGTGGATATTGAAAATAGTTCTTTTATGGAAATATCGCGTTATTACCACAATTTCCAAACTTATCTGATTCAAAATATCGAATTGGTGAAATATATTTATGAATTATAAAAAAAAAAAAACTAATACAACCGTTGGTTAAATGCTGCTGGACAACCCCCGTAGGGTTACGAATTAGGTGGAAAAAAATGACCCTCCAGAACCCGCTAGTTTTCGAGAAATCGCACTTTTTAGATTTTTAAAAATTTTTTCTCACTAATTTGTTTTCAAAATACTTAGAAAAAAAAAAAAAAAAAAAAAACGATAAACGATAACTAATCCAACCACTGAGCTAGAGTAACCATGCTGAAAGAAAAACTGTGTCAGTCACCAACAATTTAAGTATCTAATCGAATCTACCGAAACATAAAAAAAGAATTTAAAATTTAAAAAAAAAAAAAAAAAAAAAAAACAAACATATTGGCAGATCCGTGGTGGATCCTAGGATCCCGTTATCTGTCATCTCCAAGTCTCAGAATCTGTCATGTTGTATATTTAAAATTTGATGTTTTCATATACTGGAGAAATTCATTCTTTCTTTCTTTCTTTAACCGATACAAATTCAAAAAATATGTTTCTTGTTAATAAGCTTTTGATAGCTCAACAAGATTAGACGTAAGAGGGTCAGATGATCCCGTTTTCTATCCTCTCCGAGTCTCATTAACCTAAATCAGTATGGTATAACAACTTACCATGTTAAATTACATTGCTGACTTGTGAAATAAATTTCTTTCTTTCCTTCTTTTTATGATACAAACTGTAGTATCAAAAGACGACGAAAAACTTCTAAAAAGGTGGCAGTACAAAAAAAAACATTTCCATTTTTTAAATTTGATAATTTACAAAATGAACTATTGTCAATTAAGATAACAATTTTTTAAAGCATGAATAAATAACAAATAAAACATACAAACATCGACAGAACATCAAAGGCCTGTCGAATGGTGCTAGCAAAAGTAAGAGTGCAGGAAATGTTTATTCTTATGGATCATTTAATTTTCAATATCCGAATTTATAAATTTATTATTCCACAAATTTCACCAGGGCTACTAATAAAATGTCTTGATTTAATAAAATTCCTTACTAATAAAATCCCTTGCTAATAAAATCCCTTACCTCCAGATATCTGGGAACCCCTGCCGACCTTCTGGTGAGACAGAACTTCTTGGCCCCTTCCGGATCCCCGACTTCACACAACACCTTGTCAATCCACACCTCTGGCAAACTACTCAAACTCATGCCACTTTCACCTTCTTCCAGTTGCGCATTTTGGGTCCAGAGAAACTTCACGATCTGCTGGAGGGCTAAAAAGGACTTCTCGAACGCGCCCAAATGTCTCGATTCCACAACCAGTTTTGTAACATAGTCTGTGATTTCGATAATTTGAGACGAAGCGACTGCACAGTTTGAGTTTGGTTTGTACTTGGTCACTAGATCAGCTAGGATGAAGCAGGCTTCTTTCACGATGCGCCAACTGCAAAACACGACCATTTGGGCAGTCACCGGAATCTGAGGGGAGCTTAGTTGGGATGACTCATCGCCTATTGCCAAGGATTCAGAAGCGTCGTCCAAAGAGCACTTGGTTTTGAAATCATGCAGCGCCAAGACTGAAACCGATACATGCTACCACAGAAATCACACTTCGTCAAAATAGGTCTATCAAAAATGAAACATCTTTTTAGGTATGACATATGAACAGTTAAGATCCAGAAGAAAGAATAAACATGGAACAAAAAAACTATCAAAATCAACCAAAACAACAAAAAAACGTTTTGCAATTCGGTCTGAAGTTCTGTCGGCTTGGTGTCCGGCATCCGCAAACCATAATCTGTAATTTACAGATTCAAAATAACACGACTTTTACACGACACCGGAAAAATTTGCTTCGCTGTGTAACACATGAAAATTCACTTACACTCCCTCGGTGTAAATACTTTACAATCATACCGAAAAATTTCAATACTGCTTCTCATATAACTGTTATGAAAAGAATTTTCCATGAATAAAGTCAAACATATCTATCAGAGATTGAAAAAGAGTCATGAAATCAAGGAAGCAGAAAAAAAAGTACTGACCTATTTCAATTTTCGAATTTATTGGAAAAAACATATGGACTTAAAGTTTTTTGAAATTCAAGACAATTTATGATTGACACTTTTTGATGAAATTATTCCAATTTGAAAAAAAAACTGGATCAATAGGTGATTTTTTTATTCCCCAGAAAAATCTGAAAATTAAATTCCACCTTCGAAATTAGGCTCTTTTTCCTTTCCCCCTACGTGCAAAATTTTACAAATAAAAGTTTTGTTTACATCATTCGATTGTTATTAAAATTGGCATACGGAATAATTAGGCTATGGCAAACATATTCGGTCTTCATAATTAACCTTTTAAAACCACTCGTCACACAATAAAATTGATGCTCGTGTGAGGTGGGGAAAGAAAAAATACAGAAATTATAATTCGATCGCGTTTTTTGTGACCTTTACTTTTGCTGTTCAATAACGGAACTTTAACAAAAGAAACGATTTGAACTTCGAAAGGAATCAAAGGTCGAACCGCATAAAAAACAATTGAGCCTGAACAAATTTTACACAGAGGAGAAAGTGCGCTTCGCAAACACTAGCCAGAATACGACAAAAAGCAGATCTACAAAGTGCAATAAAAAAGAAATAAGCCTCAAAGTAGTGAAAATTCGGCTATCTCGGATTTAATGTGACTTAGATATTACATTGTCAGATTCAATTTATAGTTTCTTCTTAGATTTGAAGAAAGCTTTTGATACTATCGACCATGACATACTAATCTACAAGTTAGAATGTTACGGTATCCGTAGTAATTGCTTGAACTGGTTTGTATCATACTTACGAAATCGCATGCAGCGTGTTGAAGTTAATGGCGTTAGTTCTGCTTGGAACACGGTTGACTGCGGTGTTCCACAAGGATCAATCCTAGGACCATTATTATTTATCATATACATGAATGATCTTCCTCTGACTTGTAAGTCTGCAGAAATAATTCTTTTTGCGGACGATACTAACTTAACAGCGATAGGCTGCACTGTAGAAAATATCCAGTCAGACCTTGAATGTCTGAATAAATGGTTAATAGCAAATAAATTAGTAATCAATATATCAAAAACAGTACAAATGACCGTTAAATCAAGTGCTTCCAATTGCTCTTTCAATTTGAATGCCCTTGATATAACCGTTAAACCTGTGTGCAAGTATTTAGGAATTTATATTGATTGTAAATTGTCCTTTGTCAGTCATGTTGATTTTGTTAAAATGAGACTTGGGAAACAATGTGGCATAATATCAAAATTGAGACATTATGTACCCAGGTACCAACTATTAGAATACTACCGAAGTAATGTTGTCCCTATTTTACAGTACGGAATTCTGGTTTATGGATGCTGTAGTTTCAGTGTTTTGAATCCAATTTTCATTTTGCAAAAAAAAATTTTAAAATTTATATATTTCAGAAAGCGGCAAGATCACTGTGAAGATATATTTGAAAAGAATAAATTACTGACAGTTTTTGAATACCACGTATACGAGCTTCTGAAATTTGTTCTTAAATCTGTAAACCAATTGCACAGCGAAAATTTTCTAAACGAAATGTTCACTTTTCAAAAGTCGGAGAAATTGACAAGGCGATCTAGTGCCAAGTTACTATTGGAACCTCTTTGCAAACGTAAAATCGAAAGATTCTCGATACGATATAGAGCATGCAAATTGTATAATAAAATGAATAGCTTGGGCTTGCTCCCAGTGGATATTGAAAATAGTTCTTTTATGGAAATATCGCGTTATTACCACAATTTCCAAACTTATCTGATTCAAAATATCGAATTGGTGAAATATATTTATGAATTATAAAAAAAAAAAAACTAATACAACCGTTGGTTAAATGCTGCTGGACAACCCCCGTAGGGTTACGAATTAGGTGGAAAAAAATGACCCTCCAGAACCCGCTAGTTTTCGAGAAATCGCACTTTTTAGATTTTTAAAAATTTTTTCTCACTAATTTGTTTTCAAAATACTTAGAAAAAAAAAAAAAAAAAACGATAAACGATAACTAATCCAACCACTGAGCTAGAGTAACCATGCTGAAAGAAAAACTGTGTCAGTCACCAACAATTTAAGTATCTAATCGAATCTACCGAAACATAAAAAAAGAATTTAAAATTTAAAAAAAAAAAAAAAAAAAAAAACAAACATATTGGCAGATCCGTGGTGGATCCTAGGATCCCGTTATCTGTCATCTCCAAGTCTCAGAATCTGTCATGTTGTATATTTAAAATTTGATGTTTTCATATACTGGAGAAATTCATTCTTTCTTTCTTTCTTTAACCGATACAAATTCAAAAAATATGTTTCTTGTTAATAAGCTTTTGATAGCTCAACAAGATTAGACGTAAGAGGGTCAGATGATCCCGTTTTCTATCCTCTCCGAGTCTCATTAACCTAAATCAGTATGGTATAACAACTTACCATGTTAAATTACATTGCTGACTTGTGAAATAAATTTCTTTCTTTCCTTCTTTTTATGATACAAACTGTAGTATCAAAAGACGACGAAAAACTTCTAAAAAGGTGGCAGTACAAAAAAAAACATTTCCATTTTTTAAATTTGATAATTTACAAAATGAACTATTGTCAATTAAGATAACAATTTTTTAAAGCATGAATAAATAACAAATAAAACATACAAACATCGACAGAACATCAAAGGCCTGTCGAATGGTGCTAGCAAAAGTAAGAGTGCAGGAAATGTTTATTCTTATGGATCATTTAATTTTCAATATCCGAATTTATAAATTTATTATTCCACAAATTTCACCAGGGCTACTAATAAAATGTCTTGATTTAATAAAATTCCTTACTAATAAAATCCCTTGCTAATAAAATCCCTTACCTCCAGATATCTGGGAACCCCTGCCGACCTTCTGGTGAGACAGAACTTCTTGGCCCCTTCCGGATCCCCGACTTCACACAACACCTTGTCAATCCACACCTCTGGCAAACTACTCAAACTCATGCCACTTTCACCTTCTTCCAGTTGCGCATTTTGGGTCCAGAGAAACTTCACGATCTGCTGGAGGGCTAAAAAGGACTTCTCGAACGCGCCCAAATGTCTCGATTCCACAACCAGTTTTGTAACATAGTCTGTGATTTCGATAATTTGAGACGAAGCGACTGCACAGTTTGAGTTTGGTTTGTACTTGGTCACTAGATCAGCTAGGATGAAGCAGGCTTCTTTCACGATGCGCCAACTGCAAAACACGACCATTTGGGCAGTCACCGGAATCTGAGGGGAGCTTAGTTGGGATGACTCATCGCCTATTGCCAAGGATTCAGAAGCGTCGTCCAAAGAGCACTTGGTTTTGAAATCATGCAGCGCCAAGACTGAAACCGATACATGCTACCACAGAAATCACACTTCGTCAAAATAGGTCTATCAAAAATGAAACATCTTTTTAGGTATGACATATGAACAGTTAAGATCCAGAAGAAAGAATAAACATGGAACAAAAAAACTATCAAAATCAACCAAAACAACAAAAAAACGTTTTGCAATTCGGTCTGAAGTTCTGTCGGCTTGGTGTCCGGCATCCGCAAACCATAATCTGTAATTTACAGATTCAAAATAACACGACTTTTACACGACACCGGAAAAATTTGCTTCGCTGTGTAACACATGAAAATTCACTTACACTCCCTCGGTGTAAATACTTTACAATCATACCGAAAAATTTCAATACTGCTTCTCATATAACTGTTATGAAAAGAATTTTCCATGAATAAAGTCAAACATATCTATCAGAGATTGAAAAAGAGTCATGAAATCAAGGAAGCAGAAAAAAAAGTACTGACCTATTTCAATTTTCGAATTTATTGGAAAAAACATATGGACTTAAAGTTTTTTGAAATTCAAGACAATTTATGATTGACACTTTTTGATGAAATTATTCCAATTTGAAAAAAAAACTGGATCAATAGGTGATTTTTTTATTCCCCAGAAAAATCTGAAAATTAAATTCCACCTTCGAAATTAGGCTCTTTTTCCTTTCCCCCTACGTGCAAAATTTTACAAATAAAAGTTTTGTTTACATCATTCGATTGTTATTAAAATTGGCATACGGAATAATTAGGCTATGGCAAACATATTCGGTCTTCATAATTAACCTTTTAAAACCACTCGTTACACAATAAAATTGATGCTCGTGTGAGGTGGGGAAAGAAAAAATACAGAAATTATAATTCGATCGCGTTTTTTGTGACCTTTACTTTTGCTGTTCAATAACGGAACTTTAACAAAAGAAACGATTTGAACTTCGAAAGGAATCAAAGGTCGAACCGCATAAAAAACAATTGAGCCTGAACAAATTTTACACAGAGGAGAAAGTGCGCTTCGCAAACACTAGCCAGAATACGACAAAAAGCAGATCTATTAAGTGCAATAAAAAAGAAATAAGCCTCAAAGTAGTGAAAATTCGGCTATCTCGGATTTAATGTGACTTAGATATTACGAGTCTCTCGCACTAACCGCTCAGCCACGGGTTCTTAATAAATCAAAAAGACTAGCCAAAAATAAAGCAGAGAACAGATACTATGAAATTTTCAATGCTACAGGTTGTGATTATAGCAAAAAGGCCACTAAATAAGTGAACACCTTAATGAACACTTTTATTTGCGAGTTGGTTCGGAAAAAAAAGTTGGTACTAAAAAAAGACTTTTTCTGAAAAAATAAGAAAAACAACACCAAAACTTATATGAGAGTCTGAGCAACAATTATCGACTTAAAAAGCTTCGCCTATTATAGTTGATTATTTAAACTAGGAATAGTATATTTCATAATTGTCACAATTAAGCGGAGCAGCCCTTACGACACAAGCAACAGAACAAATACAAGCCAGAGGAGCCGTAAAATGCAAGAAATTATAAAACTAAGGCGGCTTGGGCGCCAAAACTCATAACGCAGCGAGCGCCAAAATTCCCACAAGCTTTATCAAAACTTTTCATAAAACGCCCTAAAACGTCATTTCTGACCTGTTTTTCTTTCTAAAATTTCTTTGCGGCACAATAATATTTTAATGGGCTTTGTGAAAATTTGTAAAAAGACCTTATTCACAGCAAACCGCAGCCAAATCCGCCTCCCCCCCCCCCCCAGATCTGCGCCGAAAACTGCACAAAAAATTGACCAAAAAAATTAATCACACAGGCGAAGCAGAGCTTCGAACGATTTGCGATACAAACATGAATGATAATGATTACGAGCAGTGGCGGATCTAGGATTTTCTCGAGGGGGGGGGGGGCTTATTTAAAAAAAAAAATTCGAAAATTTTGACGACCTTTTTTTTAGGTCGACCAAATTGATTTTTCGAGCTCTCCCAAAGCACTGTTTTGCCCCTATTTTGGCTAAATTTTCTGCGCCGCAGGTAATTTTTTGAAAAAACAGTCAAAAAAGCAGTTTTTGGGCACTTTTTGAAAAATTTTGACAAAAAAAATCGCGTTTTTTTTGGCGCGCGCTCCCCCTCAAAGTTAGTTTATATTGGCGCCAGAGGCGCCTTTAGAAAAATTTTAGGGTCGGTCGGCCAAAAATGGATTTCTGAAAAAGTATCAAAGGGGTGACCCTTTGGGTCGGCAGGGCGTCGAATCCCTGAGGGGGTCCGCCCCCCCCCTAAATCCGCCCCTGATTACGAGCAGATGAATCGAAAAAGTAGAAAAACTAAAAATTCGTTTATTTCGTCAAAAAAAATTGAACAAAAAAAACAAAAAATCATACAAAGAGCATCCAGAATTTCTCAAAAAAAGTTCAGCCTTCAAAGGAGACCTGGTTGCAAGACCCTTGCTTATCGCATGGTTAAAAAGAAATGAAAACTAATCTGTGCAATGACAGCTAAATGTTACCATTAAGCAAAGTGCACAGCAAACAAACGATTGTACAAGTAATTTAACTTTTTTCTATTAAGATAAAACTTATATTAAGATATTATCGAATCGATTTAATTATGTTCCATTACGTTTGTTTAGGTTTATACACTACATAAATTATCGAGAAGACGACAGTTTGGGGCTATTCTTATTGGCCGCCAAAATTTTGTGTCGTTAGAAATACAGTGCTGATTTAAATTATCCGGACAAAACGAACAAAACTTGAATTTTCAAACGCGTTTTTCTCAAATTGGGTTAAGATTAGACAAAAAGTGAAGAGAACAAAAGTTGCTTAGAATTACACCAGAATTAATATGGTGCCATTTTTCTCCGACATTCTCAACAAAAATTTTACCCCAAAAATGGGTCATTTTGGCTTTTTTCAATTAATCAAGAATTACGCTGAAACCACTATTTAATGGATAAGAAAATTATATCACAAGAAGCCTCTTACATAGCCCAACAAAGTTTAACAAGGGTTAAATCTCTAAAAATTTGCGCAAAATGTTTGAAATTTATTCTAAACAGAGATTCTGGGTTTTATATAGTAAAAATCACATTTATTGACTATCGAGTGAAATTTTTTTTTCTTTTACTGGTTTTTGAAGATTTAACCCTTGTTAAAATTTGTTGTGCTGCGTAAGAGGCTTCCTGTGATATAATTATCAATTAACAAAGTAGTTTCAGCGTAATTCTTGATTAATTGAAAAAAGCCAAAATGACCCATTTTTGGGGTAAAAATTTTTGTTGAGAATTTCGGAGAAAAAATGGCACCATATTAATTCTGGTGAAATTCTAAGCAACGTTGTTCTCTTCACTTTTTGTCTAATCTTAACCCAATTTGAGAAAAACGCGTTTGAAAATTCAAGTTTTGTTCGTTTTGTCCGGATAATTTAAATCAGCACTGTACGCCAAGACAACTTCTCCTTGTAAACGGTAAGCGTACAAACAAAAATCATGACCCAACAACAAAAACAATGAAGCGACAGCTAACGAGGAGCTCATCTGGGGTACAAAACTCTGCCCGTTTTATCGAATGATGAGTTATAAATTAATAATTCACGAAATTGGAGATCTTCGAACCCGAGAAGAGGATACAAAACCGAAGACAATTATGATGACGATTGATTATGATGATGATTAAGTTAAATTTACTAACCGACTTCGGAGTCTGGTGGCATGTAGCCTTCTGGGGCCACTTGTTTCACAACAGGGAACACAATCTCACAGGCAGAGATGCAGATGCGAATCACACTAGCCACAACATCGCCATGCGCATCCTTGTCACTACAACAAAACAAACTACTAAAAATACATATAAGAAAGACCTCCCACATTTTGTTAATAATTTTTAAAATATTTATTGATTTTTGTAATTCATCACGATGATAAGTTGAATAGGTGGATATAGGCAGAAATTTCTAACAAACTACCAACACAATGCCTAGCAAAAAAAAATAAAACGAATGTATTTAATAAACAGAAATAAACTAAGAAACACTGATTGCAGTTTACTGTGCAAGTAGCACAGAATGTTCCAACCACTGCTATTATCGTCAAAAAAATCGACTTACTTCTTTTTTTGAGTTTGAAAGCTAAAATGATGATTCCACAATATAGCCAACAGAAATTTGGAAAATGCCAATGAAAAAAAAAGAAAACTGAAAAATATAATTATTTTAAAGAAAAAATACATCCCGGAAACCTTTTTGAATTTGAATCTTCTACAATTCACATTTTTTCCATAAAAATAACCTAATTAGAAAAAAAAACAGGATCAATAGACATTTTCTCTTCCACTGAGAAATCTACTAACTAAAAATGTAGCTAACAGAGGATTGGAGAAGTGTACAAAGACAAGCACACCGAAAATGATTGAAAATTTTGAAGCCTTTTCAAATTTCAAAGGAAAAAAAATTGATCAGCCAGAAAATCTGCGATGAAATTAACTTATTGTGAGAAAATAGGATCACTCATTAAATTTTTTCCGCCGTAAAATCTAAAAATTAAAATCATTTTCGAAACAAAATGTAGATCACGTTTTTTCCCGCGATTTCCGCTTTCGAAATTGGAGAGCGCACTTTACCTCACATTTGACAGATGAACTTGAATTAAACTCATAAACTGCATCTATTCCTAATTGCATTCATTAATGCATTATTATGTATGACTGCACATCTGTAATTATTAGAGTATTTTAAAAAATTTTCCTGAAAGAAAAAACAAACAAAAAAGTCATCACGACCTAAAAAAGTTGTTGTTTCCAATTGGTTTATTGACATTTACAAATATAAAATTTCTTTAAATACAAAATGAGCCACTTTTTTTATTAATAAAATAAAAAATAAGAAAAGTTCGTCCGTTTGATAGCGACCCAATTTTGTCAGCTTATTGCTATTCAGTCCAGTTTTCAGTTGATTTAAAATTATTTTTGGGTTCCTAATCACAGTTAGAAAGGGCGGTAAAATGATACTAAACTCGATGACTTAAAAGCGTTCTTGGAGGCACCTGATTTTGCATTAAAAACATATCCTGGGCCAGTACGCTCTCCTCACTAGGGTGGCTGTCGAAAAATTAAATTCCAGGTTTAAAAAAATAGATAGTTAAAATATCAGGTGCGTTAAAAACATCAGCCTCAAAAGGATCAGCATACTATTTTGTGTGACCGTGATTGTTGTAGACTTCTTACATTGTAACTCACATTTACACAAATATTATTCTCTTTTCAATTGAATTAACATGCACAGATGAACAGATGGCGATATATTTTGAGAAAAATAATATCGCTTGGAGCGGTTTTAAAATCATAGTATCCATGATTCATTCACGACTTTCGACCGCTGAAAAATTGCAACCTGACATAAAAAGAAAATTATTCAAATCTCCTAAACTCTAGAAAATAAAGCCAAAAGACGCACCAAAGAGCACTATAGATTGATACCTAACTTCTTAGAAGATGTGGAAAAAATATTAAGAATCAATTCACGAGACAATAACAACTTTTATTTTAATATGTCAGTGAAAGATCGATCATGACAAAGGAATCTATAGTCACTTTGTTTTAAAAATTGTTTCGTTTGATTGTCAGATCTTAACGACTCATGTCATTAAACACATACTCATTAATCAAGTCAACCTTAGAAGGCCATTCAAAGACTTGAATCAGGTCTCAAAACAAAGTGAAAAGTTAAATCTTATTAATCAATTTTGTTTGGTCAACTCGACATGGTAAAAGCAGAAGAAAATAGAATCGAGCCATTAATGTCTGAAAAAAGGCTTTTATTGGTGACATTTTGTCGATGTTTGCAAAACTGTTTTTATCTGGCCAATGACTTTTGTCTATCATTAAGTCTTTCCTTACAGGCCAAGTGTCAATAAATTAATGAACAAAGACCCACATAAGTTCCCCACAAACTTTTCAGTAGTTTTAATCGAGTAAACTGAAAGTAACTAGAACAAATAAAAAGCATAGCTTATCAGTGAAAGGTAGTTTGTTTGTGCAGTTGAAATTGGTGTAATTGATCGGAGGGATCGGTTGCAGAGTAAATTGACAATTGAGCTGTTTATATAGAACTGACTACCAAATGTCTAGTTGAGGGCCAAAATGCTAGATAATAAATCATAGACACCGTCTCAAACTCAAACTAAACTCCAATTTATCAACTTTCTCAATTGCTACTTATTACCCATTCTATATCTTTGTACAGAGGTAGGTAACTACAAAGTTTTCACGTTTTCTTCGATCTTGAAAAGGTTATCACAACGGAATTATTTCATTAAGAAAACACAGTTTTCAGAACAGCGGCCAATTTTTTTTAATGACTGGTACCTAACCCTTCCATTAACCCTGGAGAAATTAAAACTTACTTTGCAATCCGTTCTGTATTTTATTTTTGTATGCAAGCGATTAATTAATTATTTGTTAAATCTAAATCTGCTGGTCTGTTCGCCTTACATATTGATTAAAATACACTCCGTTAGTATAGCACCTGAAATTCCATTTTTGATTAATATCTCCCTCCAAAATATGTCGATTCATTATCGACCCAAAATATCAAAGAAGTGATCGTACTTTTTAATGTTTTCATTATTTAGGGCTAATTTGAAAATGGATATACATCCACTATTTTTAAACATATTTCATAGCAAAGACCGCTGATTTTTTTCCTCTCAAAATGGACACCTTGCTGAAATATAAATAGGAAAAATTCAAAAATCTGGTCTGGCAATTTAATTTTTTTTACGCTTCATTAGTTGGGAATTTAGGGCGACAATTTTCCTGTTTAATTTGAGAGTTGGTAAAATAATGAACAGTTTGGGAGCAACCGCTTCATTACTCTAACGATGTCTTCCATAGACCGACACTTTCTATCTGAGGAGGCTAATTTTGGGACAGCTTTCCATTACTGACTCCATTTAACAACCCTTCATTAAACTCACAACTGCTAATCAGCAATCAACTTTAAAAAGTTCTGCTTTCCATTTTTTGATGAATATTTTAAACAACTTTCAGGAGAAAATTCAAAATTCAAAGCAATGAAAAAAGACCATATTTCCCTGAAAGACAGATTTCGTTTCCAATTTCAAATCATAAGTTTGGATAATTTATTAGGTATTCACTAGATTTCGATTGATGTCTGAATTCAGCCTCAAATTTTCCTCAAAATCCAGTCTTAAAGGCACAAGTTAACTTTCTCTTTATCATAATTGCTGAAAATCCAGACAAAATTATTTTTCTGTCAATATTTATAGGATAGAGTTAAACAGAAATCACCCTAAGAGTTGGCAAAAATTTGTAATAGAATTTGTAATTGTCATCACTGTTTTTTTGAAAATAATATTTATTTGTTTTAGTTGTTTACTATCCTAGCTATTGTTCACAAAAAGAGCCATATCAATATCCAGTTGCGTATGACTTTATAAGTGGAGACCAAATCACAGCTGGATTTGAAAAAAGAGCGCAATTCGATGAATTTTAGCAAGCGGGAATCCGATGCGCATTTATTTTCAGTTTGATTTGATAATTGAAGAGCGCGACAGATTTCTCAAATAAACATTACTGAGGGGAGATCCAAGTTGTGTTGAAGTACCTTCTATGGACACAGTTTTAGACACAGTGGACATTGCGTCACATTCATTCATTGATAGATAGATAAAAAGATATCCATTATTGTCATATATCTATTCTGTTTACCATTTTGTCACACTATTTGCCTGTCGATTAATTATCACATTTGCGCTGATATTGAGTAGCGCCATTCATTGACAATAATGAGCAAATATCGAAACAAATCCAATTTCGTTTTATTCAATAGTTGCCAATAGAAATACAAATTTAAAAAAAAAGTTTCGAGGATCTTTCACTGTTCGTAACAATCTTTCCGTATTTTTTTAAGAAAAAATTTGATTTCAATAAAATTTCAATAAGTTTGTTGATGTTTTGATTCTTGTTATTTTCAAACCACATCACACAGTTACCTTCATTATATGATTTTGCACGACTAGAAACTAGCTAGTTGATTGGACTGAGACATTTGAAAAGATTAACAATTGAATTACAAAGTGGCATAATTAGATTTGACTCCATTTGAGGACCTGAATAAATCTACCTGATTCGATTTACACTCCAGCGGACGCGATTGATGCAGGAGAAATAATCCAATTATTATCTTTATCAGTTGCCTGAAAATCATACAAACAGAATCATTTCTGAAAAAAAAACAAGTTTCCAAAGCTATTTTAATTTATTCATTTTTTTCACTTCTGAAAAAAAACAAGTTTCCAAAGCTATTTTAAATTATTCCGCAACAAAAACTTATTTCAAAATTTTACCTCAAAATTACGAGAAGTGTGTCAAAAATTACAAAATCCCACATTTTCAGCCTGAAATATTCCACCTCTAAAAAGTCACAAAAAAACAAAAAATCCCTTCCAGTTCCAATTGTTCCTTTAAAAATTTAGCAAAAAGTTGGAATAAAAGACTGATTTTCCCAGCGGACTAACAGTGTCGTATAAGTTCTCATTGCCTATTTAAATCGAGTTATAACAACTATCAACTTCAAAACTCTTGAGGCTGGACTTGAAAAATCAAATTATAGTCCTCTAAAAAGCCAAATTATCCGCCTTTGTTTTCCAATTAACAAAAACCAAACATTCTCACAGCCGAAAGTTACACAAGAAAGGTGAAAAGTCAATATTTGATTATAGCCGGACTTTTAGCAAGAAAAACAACCGAACAAATTCGGATAAAAGAATGTACTTTTTGAAACTGAGAAATATTACAAGTTGTTGTAAACAATTATTTCGCAATTTATAACCAACTATTTAAAAATCAGTTTTTATTAGTATTGCATTGCCTCACTTCAGTTTCTCACAAGATCTTTTTTCTTTTTTCTTCGCGAATTATCAAAAATGAATTCTCCGATCAAATATCGACGTTGTGGTAATTTGCAGTTTTGCGCGATTATTATCGTATTTTTCGAAATTTTGCTTTCAAATACAGTTTTCTCTAAACCATCATCTCTTGCTCCGACAAAAACAAATTATCAAGCCGACTCAACTAGCTTCGCTCATTCACGACTGGAAACTACTCGAATTTCTGTTCGCTTGCTGGATCTCACGCCGGAAGAATTGAGCGACGAAATAAATGGTAATAAAAACAATGAAAACAGACGGAAATCCGATTACGAAATATCCAAATTACTTTACTACGCCGAAGTCAACGCCGAGAACTTCCGAGAGGTCTGGAAGCGTTTCCAACCCGACAACCACGTGCAAGATAACAGTCCGTTCTCAACAGCTGTAATGGACTTCGTTTCTCGCTTTTTGGGCCATGAATTGTCACAATGGCTCGAGTACATAGCTATTATGGATGAGCGAATCTCTCAGTATATGGGCTTGGGTCTCTACGATTCTCAGCTTTCGGGAGCATTTACATCGGCCGACCAAAAATACATATTGCACCGGATTTTGAGTTTGGGAGGGGAGTCGGACGCTTTCTCGCAGCGAAGGTCTATTTGCCAACGAGTATCCATGTATGGCTTTGACCTAGGTCCATACATTGAAAAGTACCCCTCACTTATTTCCTGTGCAACAATTCGAGAACTTACAGTGTACTTCAAAGGTACCAGAGGTCCTTTTCGATTCGAGAAAATTCAAACAATGTTGTCGAGTTTCGATGCAGTTCAAAATGATTCGTTGGTTCAGCAACTTAACCAGCCTCATAATTTTCATGTGGAGTGGCGGACATCTGAATTTCAGCTAGCCGAATACGATTTCATGGAACGCGAAGAGATTTACCACCGTAAACCAGTTCTGATTGGGTCCCACGAATGTCGTTGGGGTCTGTCGTCACAGATTACACAACTCCCTACGGTGTCAAGATTCTACAAAATAAAACCAGATGCCACTTGGGCGTTGAAACTTCTCACTAGCTACAAAATCTCTTCTATTGATCATATTTTGAAACAGTATGACATCATATATCGCCAAGAAGGTCATTTGTGGAGTGCTGTCAAAGATTTCTTAAGAATTATCAATAATGAATTATGCGGCGATTTCACAATCTACCAGAGATTTCTTGTAGGAAGCGCACTGAATCAAACAGTTAAGAAAAGCAGCATCTTGGACATGACAGGTTGGTCGAAGCAAGAAAAGAAAGACTTTTCTTGTTTCTTGCAAGTTTCAGCTCCTGGAAATGGGATCCCTAGAGAGCACATCGCAGTGAATCCTAGCCAACAAGCATTCGACAAAAGGTTTCAAGATATAGAGCATATTGTAGACATGGGCCTAACTTTTTCAGGCCAGCACTCAACCTTGGATTTGATATTTGAGGAACTGTTTTACAATAGCTCTCAAATTACCACAAGAAAATCATCGCAGACAGTTGTGAATACAATTCGTGCTGCTTTAAAAGATGCTTACGGCACCGAGTTTCAAAGCTTATCGCAACTTGAAGAGCATCACTTCAATTCTATTCCCGGATTCCTGCTTCGAGAATTTTGGACAAGTGAATTTCAATTCAACAATCAAATCTTGGGCGAGAAAGAAACATGCCGAGAAACCTTCATCCGAATCGGATCGATTGACAACTCAGATCTTTCGGCTCTGAAACGAGAAAAATTAGTTCAAACCTTCCTAAGACAGTGTCCGGGAACTTTTGAGGATAATCTAAGAGTTTTGAATTCTTTGGTATGCGATTACAAATTCCAACCTCAAGAGCTCAGATCTGAGAAACAACGCAACGCATGGATCTCAAGGGCAAGGCAATGCAAAATAACCGACGCAGAGTTTGCTGAGAAAGTATGGCAAGAAGTCTCGTTCATAACTCCATCTTTAAATTCTGTTTTGTTCACATTAGGTCCGAGCAACTTGTGTTCTGTAGTTCCCAAAACATATTGGGACTCTTCAAAAACAAACATAACGAGTTTTGATTCTGATAGACTTGTGTGGACGCTGACTAAAATTGATGATGAAAATGACAGAGAGAACAAAGAATGTCTGGAAATAATTGTGAAGAAGCTCAGAAATGACACGAAGAGACCCCGATTCTGGTTTAACACCAAAGAGATGCCTTTATGCCAAGACTTCCTTATGCTAAAACAACGTGAGTAGCATTCTTAAATTAATAATTGCACATATTTGAGCTAATGTAGTCATGAAAACATAAAAATCCAAATATACGGCTGGATGCCATAAGTTCAATTTCTTTATTTAAAAAAACTAAATCAATGCATTGTTTGTTTCAGTGAATAAATACCTGGAATCTGATTGGATTACCAAAGCAGACACCAATAGCGAATGCGTAAACCTGATTGGCTCAAACCCCTCGTGGTTTACACACGCTCAATTGGCCGAATACACCAAAATGCTAGAAAGGGTTCCTAGAGTTTTCATCGGTCCTAGAATTGATTGGAAACTGGCCAACTTGATCCCATATCTCGATCAAGGTACTTTGGAAACAGTTTTGAGCGGAATAAAGTCGGAAACTTCCGAGCGAGAAGAGGTTTTGTCGTTTTTGTCACGACTTCGTTGGCCACCGACAGAAAACTTCAGTAATAAAGTCGAATTCATTTTTGACCTCTTTAAAAACAGCATAAAATTAAACCAGCGCGGAGAAATAGACATTTCAAAAACGAAGAACATGCTTTGCTCGCTGCCGTACAAAACACTCAACTCGTACGCTCAAAAGCAAGAAATTCAAAGTCAGTACTTCTGCACTAAAGAAGGTCAACTATTTAAAGCGCCCATTGAAATTCCTCTGAACCGATTGCAACAATTTCCTCTGCTCATGGATCCGAGATTTTCTTGGATCAAAGACGTGAACGATCTCAAACAACTTCCGCTGGAACTGTTCCGAAATCACGTGGAATATGTTATTGATCACAACTTGATCAAGAATTGTTCAACAACTCAACTTGAAGTTGTAGCTCAAAAATTATCTGAACTCGCTTTAACGGATGCTAAATATACGTCACAGCTTCAGAAGGTTAAAATTCTTTTGGATTCAGGCGAAGAAATCTTTCCGAGCAAAAATTCAGGAAAAACTGAAAATGCAACACTCATTCCACCTTCAAATGACACTGAAGATGTCGGTTTAACAGCAGAAAACGCTTTAAGACATTCTCAAATAGTTTATGTAATTTTATCCTCTTCTAAACTACAAAATGCATTCCATTTAATTATTTTAACTTTTATTTTAAAGCTTTTCCTATTGGACTAGATAACACAAATTAATTTTGTAAAATGTACACTTAATTTTATTTTAACTTATTAATTAATTCCTATTCGTCTCCAAGTGTTTTTTAAACAATGAGCAAGCTCTGCAGAACTTGGCGTAAAACATCTTTCAATGATGTCCATTTTACCATTAGAATTGATCTACAGTGATAACATTGATGCAAAAATTGAAAAAGTCGCTAATTTATTCATCAAAATAGAAGCCGACAGGCGTGATTTTTTGGCTTTGGCCTATTTTGCAGGGGGGATCTAGGATTTTCTCGAGGGGGGGGGGATTTTCAAAAAAAAATTCAAAATTTTGTCGACTTTTTTTAGGTTGACCAAATTCATTTCCCGAGCTCTCCCAAAGCACTAAACAGTCCCTGTTTTGACCAAAAATTTCTGCGCCCCTTAAAATTAGTAAATATTAATATAAAATTAGTATATATTATTATAAATTAGTCCCCCCCCCCCCCTAAATCCGCCGCTGCTATTATGCTTGTATACAAGCGGGGCAGCTTTAATTCCAGCTTAAAGAAGATGCAAACTTCATGTCGCAAACACCTGCAAAAAAAGCAAAAAATGCTCTAAAGTACATGAAACTACAAAAATAGCCAACAGACAGTTAGAAAAATGTAAAAGAAGAAGGAAACCGAAAAAAACTTTAATAGAAAATTTTTGAATATTTCCAATTTTCGAAAAAAATAAATTTATCAGGTTGAAGTTCTTTATGTCTGTTGAATACTGTTTCCGGAAATTGTTTCGTGAAGTTATCCCCTTTAGAGAAAACTGGAGCAATCGGTTATTTTTTTACTCGCTGGAAATTCAGAAAAAGAAAGTCCATTCTTGAAACAAGTAGTCATTCACGTTTTTCGTGACGTTTTCACTTTTTCTGTTAGATAGTGGAGTTGACCATTATGAAACAAAGGAAAAAAGTTAATTTACAATACAATCAAAGTCAAGCCTCGATTAAATCAAAGATCAATACCATCACTAAAATATTAGTATGGGTTATATGAAACTTGAGAAAAAAACGAAGACACTGAGAAAAAAACAAAGAAAAAAGTAAGAAAAATCAAGGTACAGTTTTTGCCTCTAAAGCATTCGATATTAGTTTTAAAATCCAACTTCGAAAAACGGCAAACAAAATTCAACTACCACGGTAAGGTAAGATTATATCATACCTAGTTGAATATAGTTGAATATCTTGAATTTCAACTGAGTATTTCCTCCAAAGTTGTACTCCAAACGAATTGTCATTCAAAGAACCTACAGGAAGTGATAAAGATTTCAAAAATTAAAAAAGGTTGTCTCAGTGTCAATAAAAAACTGGTCAGAATGTTTTAATTTTTCAGACTACAGTAGAAGAAATTTGCTGAGCGGTAGGCCCACCAGCTTAGATTCTACTAGAGTTTAAACGTAATTTTACACTACAAAAAAAATTAAACTACAATTACCACTCTTACTTGCACTTTTCATCTTAATTCAATCGCTTTTCAAGCCAAAAGTATCAAGAAATTCAGATAATTATATTAGATAAATTCAATATTTAGTTTTTTTCTTCTTAGAATCTTTTGTTTATTTTTGAATTTCTTTTCTTAAGCCGATTGGTTGCAACAATCAGTGCTACCTGTGCAGCAACCGGCGTTTCTTGTTTATTTCCATCCTGAAAAAAATAAGCAATAAGCAACAGACAGCGGACTAAAAAAGACCGAAAAAAATGAGTGCTACTGTAGACTGGACTAGTTTTGAAATAAAAAAACGTCTAATCGAAAAGTTGAGCCTCAAATGCCATAAATTTCGCCAAGTACATCCCAAAACTTGACAATATTCCACAATTAGCGGCATTGAGACAGAATTCAACATGGTTATTCCTTCTTTTTAGGTCATTATTTTACCATTTGGTTCCTAAACAACCAACATAAATACTGTGAGTCAAATTACGTTGAGAATGTCTCAACGAAATAAGCGAACGCTCATTATTGACGGACATAACTTCACAAAAAGCAAACTACAAAAAAACCAATGAGCACTGGAGACGATCAAGATTAAGTTCACGTAAACCCCACATGCTCGTAAATCCAGCCAAATTAAGTTCACGTAAATCCCACCAAATCACGCATCAGATGAAAAGACGACAGTAGAGGAAAAGAACCTGAGCGAAATTTAATTTCGGTGACCGTGATAATGTTCATACCCTTATCGTTCACAATTCTTTTTGGCTTTGCAGCGGTACGTTTAAAAATTTCTCAATGCAACTTTAGCAATTGATACTATACATATTCAAAATGACGGCTTCTACCCACCTTGCAATTATGCTCTACTGCCGAACAAAACTGAACAGACGTTTTTAAAGTTCCTGAAAGCCATCTCTTCTGTATCTGACAATGCGCAGCTATCAAGGATCCTTCTAGATTTTGAACGAGCTGCAGTTAACTCTTTTCAAAGAGCTTTTCGAGAGCCTTCAGTCAAAGTCTGTTACTCTCACCTCTGCCAAGCCTTTCTACGCAAAGTTAAAGAGCTGCTTCTGAAGAAAGCCTATGAAAACAACGTGAGCTGAGCCTGGCTATCCATTTAAAACCCACTGTGCGTTATGGTCATACGGAATTAGTCAAATGATCATTCGAGAGAGTTGTTGAGATGATCGAGAATATGGTGAACCGATTAGATCTTGAGCAAAATCTGTCATATAAACTTATGGGTAACCATTATAGGAAAATTTTAGGCACCAAACTGTACCTGCAGTTTTCCAGTTCTTTCATTTCATTTTAAAATTTCTGACTTCAAGTTTTGAACTCTTGATCAAGAGCGTTGTGCACTAATATTTATGCTTAAGAAGCTTACAAATCAGCAATCAATCATTTGATATATTTAACTGGACAGGAAATTTGCGTTGAAATTTCGCGAATTTCAAGTTGTTCATGCATGCTTGTTCATGCATGATTTTGATTCGGCACATGTTTTAATGATTCCACCTTTTGTTTCAATCTTTATTGTTAAGCTAAATTATCTTTATCTTTAGGCAGGAATTATGTTATACGAGAGTATCAAAGAAACCAAGGCCAAGTTTTATTTATTTACACAGAGGGAAAGCTTTGCTTCGCATACACTAGCGAGAATATGACAAAAAGCAGCTCAATAAAATACAGTACGAAAAACTGGAAACAAGTCTCGAATAATAAAAACTCGGCTGGGTCTCGGATTCGCTCCGCGACCTAGAGATTAAGAGTCTTACGCAAAAACCTTGTCAGCCACGGACGCTTAATACATGAGAAGCACGAGCCACAAATGAAGCAGAGAACAGATACTATAAAATTTCCAATGCTATATCGTGAGTATAGCAAAAGTGCCGCCAAATAAGTGAACATTTTCCACTTTCAATGAACACTTTTATTTGCGAGTTAAGTTAGAAACAGAAAGTCCGTACTATTAATACACTGCGCTGATTGCTAGTGTAATTATATGGGACAAGATGGCATTGAACAAGTTTTTATTTTCGGCAAATTGGAAAAGGACAAAAATTATTTATTTTGGAATAATTTTATTTAAATTTTTTTACACCTCTGATTTGAGACACTCAACAGCCATACTGACAAATGAATAGATTCAGAGTTAAAAAGAACTGTTTCTCACATCGATTGGACTACCACTCTTTAACCAGATAACGGCTTTCAATTCCTCAATAGAATAACAACAGTTAGCAGTAGAGTCTGCTTCGCTCGAAGAAGTAATTTGAAAATATAATATCTGGATTTAAGCAAGAGAAGTCCATTGAACTCAAAAACCAATTAAAAAACGCCCTTAGGGAACCAATTTTGAAACAATAGACATTGAGGCAAACAAGTAAAAAAAAACTACTCACAAAAACTGCATTCGTCGCAACAGCGCATACAGACAGTGAAGAAACCCATGAATCGGAGAAGTCGTAGCTTGCAAAAGTTTCATCCCAACCATTTTGTCCAGCATAGTCGAAATGTGATTGGTCAAATATTTGACCAATAAGAACAGATTACTTTCATCCGCCTTTCCGGAAGTATCAGAACCGACAATTGATTTCAAATGTGGACTCAAATATAGAAGCTGGAACAGATTGGCAGCGGCTGGGTACTGCTCAGATTTGAGACTGCGAGCAAAGAGAAAAGCCTGCTGCCACAACCTCTGAGCTTGCTCTTCATTCTGTACAACTGCAAGTTTGTCAGCTGGAATCAACATGAAGATCTCCAACGCAAGTTCCTAAAGCATGAAGACAACTCATTAGAGGGACATTTTACTTATTCGGCCCATTTTGACAAATCAAGAAATGTAAAAAGAATTACCGGTTACTGTGCAAATGGCACCGTATGTTTCGAACACAATTTAAACTACAGGAAAACAAATTGCCAAAAGAAAAAACATAACCAAAATAGCTATGGGAAGCGAAAAAAAATATGAATTGTTTGTTTTTTGAAAAAAATTCAAGGGAGAAAATAAATATATATTTGCAGAACTTTCAGATTAATTTTCGCTGGACGATAGCAAAAATTCAAGAGCAGAGTTTGTCATCCTTTTAAAAAAAGAAATTGAAATTTAAAAAAAAATCGAAAGACTTTTCATTGACAAGAAAAGCGTAAACTCAGAATCTAATGAAAACCTCGCGTTTTTTTTTTCAATGCGATCAATTTTAGCTTACTTTGGCCAAATCAGTGAAAAGACTTCTCATTATCTCGCATTCTAAGTTTTTTAAGTCTCGCATTAAATATTAAGAATATATTTCAATTGCTCTATCAAAACTTAACTATAATGTTTAATCAGACCAAACTACTGCTCAGGAAGTTGAGCGCACATAAATGTCTATTACTGGATTATCAACAGCAGTTTGAAAACAGTCAATGAGCGCAAGAAAACAGAAAAACACGGATTGTTTTTTTTAATTTCAATTTCTGACTTTCAACGAAAAAGAACAGATGGTCTATGAGCTCTTTTAATTTTTAGAACAATTCATGATTGGCACTTTATTGATAAAATTAACCCAACTTGAGAAAACTGGGTCAATGAGTAAAACTTTTATGCTGGGAAATCTGAAAATTTAAATTCCACTTTCGAAACTAGAAGCCACCTTTGCATTATTGCTTTTCGATAGTGGAGCTTGCCTTCATATAAACAAAATAAATGAACTAGATATGAAAAGAAGTCAAAAGTTAAACCGCTAAGAATCAAATTTGAGCCTGAACGAATCTTACTTGATTTTTCTGACTTTTCCGTGAAGCGAAACCAAAAAATCATCACGCCTATAAAATTCTATAAGTCGGGATGAGGTTTATAAGTCTATATAAAAACCCTCACTATATTCAGCAAATTAAAAAAAAAAAACATATGGCCTCTAAGCTCTTTGAAAATCAAGAAAAACTTATGAGAAAACAATTTGAGAAAAGTGGGTCAATAGGTAAATCTTTTCTTCCGTTGGGAAATCCAAAAGTTTGAATCCATCTTCGAAACTAGAAGACGGTTAAGTTTTTCGTGACCATAACACTAAGCGTTTTCGTCTCTCACCGTCAATGAAAATTTATTCAATCAAGGACAACTGTTTGTTGTGCAAAGAAGGTTCCGACCACATTCATAAAGAAACTACAAGAAAAGTTTTTTTTTTCGTCAAATTGGCGTCATTTTTGCGCGTGTTGCGATGAGAGATTTTAACAAACGCTTGAGCTTCATTGTCAACAAATTTCGTGAATTTGGCCTCAAAATCGGACAAACCAATTTTTCGAAATGTACAAAAGAATTTAGGAGGGTGGGTCGGAACAAAAAGGAATTTTTATTTACCTTATTAATCTGTACTGAATCATGAAACATTCCAATTAACCGATTGGTCCGACCATCATCTGCTGTAATCCACTGGAGAACATGGGCTCTCAATTGTTCTAGGTTGAAAAGCACCCCTGGATGGTTCTGTTCGACTATGAATATGGCCATGATGTCCCTTGTGAACTGGAGGCAGAGGTTCTTGCGTGAGTAGCTGGAGTCCAGGTAGAAAGAGTCCCAGCAGAGATCGAGCAGCCAGACGAGAAAGTCCTGAAAATGGTGGCATATAAAGCGGCCAAAAAGCGTAAGTGTTATGTAATACTTATGTAACAATTACAAAAGTTATGCAAATTCATTCATATGACTTAACTTTTCGACTGGCGTTTATACTCTGCGCATTTTCGGTTGGTTTACACTTCGGCTGGTTTATTTAATATCCTGAAAATAGTTATAAAAGAAAACTCAACAGGAGAAGAAGTAGTATTTTTGACGGTGGCAGGCCAACAAGCCGAAGGGTCAACAAACCGAAAATAGAATTATCATTCCAACAAGCCGAAAATTAATATTTTGTGCAACTTAACAAACAACAGATTATCATTGTTGTTGTGCAATTGTTACCTAATTCTGATGTAATTTAAGTAATTCCTATGCAATTTCGGCTTCAAGATATGGCGGTTTGTTGATTATCCGCCTTTGTGACATCAAACAGGGGCGGATTTTAATTATTTTCAAAAAATATCTGAGCTCTCGTAAAACAACTTAAACTACCTTTTCGCGCACAAAACTATTTATTTCGTAAAGAAAACTAACGAATTTGCAAAAACCTAATACCCTGAGAACCTAAAGATTAATTAAATTGAATAAACAAAAAAATTTGCAAAGCGATGAGCCACTTTGATTACTCAAAAATCTATGATTTTATATTTATATATTAGTGTTTCATTACATTGACGTCAAATCGTTCTCAAATGAACCGATGTGATACATTGGCAAAAAAATGCATGTTTGACTCTCAATTTTCATATTTTATTTCTTGTTAAGTTTCCTGACCTTGTATCTCTCCAGATGAGCTTTCTGTTCCTTCCAAAACTCCTCCTCCCTCTCACTCTTCTTCATCAGCAGTCTATCTCTCATTCTGAGCAGCAGCCAATTGGTCCACTGGTACACATTGTGTCTGAATGCCGGACTCTGATTGGTCAGATTGTGGATGTAGAACTGCTTGAGGAATATGACGTCATCAGAGAGAACTGGTTCGGTGGATGATTTGGTCGGATGAGTCAGAAGCCACATGACATCTTGCAATACCTGTAAAAAATTATCAAATCAATCTTTTTCAAGCTCGCGCTCTAAACTGAGTCTACAGCAGTAAAGAAGTTCGAGGAGAAGACTCTTTCTTCAGAGAGTCGACTCGCTCTCCGCCCATAAGGGTCCTTCAGCGTAAACATACGATAACTTTGAAGGGAACCCAGCGCCAAAAAACTCAATTTTTGGTCAAAATCTTCAAAGAAATACTTTAAAAAATTACCTGTATAGCAGAAAATATTTATTTTGTAGTGTTTTCGACGGGTTTTATAAAGATCAAGGAACTGAAGATTGAACACAGAGGCAAAACTGCACTTCTTCACAAACAAAAGCGAGAAAAGCGCAAAAATTAGCTCCAATAAGGTCAAAAAGTGAAAAAAGAAAGGTTAAAATTAAAATTCTGATTTGCCGACTAATTTTTTTTGAAAAACTTCAGCTTTCGAATTTCAAAGAATGAAATAGATGCCCTTGAAAATTTGGATAAAATTAACCCACGTTGAGAAAACTGGATCAGCAGGTAAAAGTTTTATTTTGCTGAGAAATCTGAAAATTAAAGTCCACTTTCGAAACTAGAAATTGATCACGTTTTTTGCACCGTTTCCACGTTCGTATTTGGATAGCAAGATTTGATTGCCTTTTAGCGAAAAAATTTCAATTGAACTCAAAAATGCATTTATACCTATGTGCATTATTAAATGCATTAAAATGTTTGAATGCACTCCAGTAGTTTTTGGAGCTTTTTAAGACTTTTCCTTAAAAAAACCCTGAGAAAATTCTAAACATTTCAGAAAAAAAGTTGAAGATTGCAAATTGGACAGCTTCTATGACATAAATTTTTCTACAAAAAATTGGGCATAGCATTTTATGTAATGAGGATTCCTTGCACTGGTTTTGCATTATCTAAGATTTCGCAAGGAAGAGTTCGAGAAAAAAATTTGTAAAAGCGGTCAAAATTTCTACATTTTGACATTTTCTAAGGCCGTAACTCTTCTTCCACAAAAATAAGGGCGTAAAAGTTAATGCATGGGTAACCCATATAACATATTCGTTTAATCAATAGCTTATTCTTAGACTTGGCAGAGTACTTTTTGAGAGAAAAAACCCTAAAATATGGTTAAAAAATTCTCCCACTGAAATTTGCGAAAGCTGTAAAACGCCGAGTAAAGTAAAAATGGACCAGTCGAGTATGAGCCAGGCAAAGGAGTAGCCGGTCTTTCCATTTAAACCATTTTTTTTCAAAATTCATAAAGTACTTATCGAGAAAAAATGAAAAACCAAATCCCATATATTTTAATAAAACCTGTTTTTTTTATCAACAGGAACTAGCCACTAATAAACCAGATACAAAAATATAATGCGATCCAGCAAAAGTTAACCAAATACAAAAATGCAAAAGTGCCACTTTTATGAGCACTTTTATTTGCGATTTGGGTCGGAAAAAATGGATACCGTACGTAATAAGACACTAAGTTTCGCGTGTGTAATCTCAAATAAATTGATTTCAAATTGATTGCTTGCTTTTCACACAACAGGTCTTCATGGTGACTGATTTTGCGAGCAACATGTCCAAAAAAATCCGTGATCGGAACAAACAAAAAATTGAACTCACTTGATTTGAGAAGGACCACACTGCATCATACATGGTCACCATAGGAACCATTCCTCGCCAAAGTTCACGCGAGTTCAACTCATCCAAACAGTCCCCATTCAATTTCACGTCTTCACTTTGCCCCAAGCCATCTGGTCGCCCACTTTTGACCTCTTCAGACTTGTTTCCACAAACGAACAGATTTTCATCTGCTGCCGACTTGATAATCATCAGTCGAACCACAAGTTTCAAATCTTTTCTCTTCAAAATGTAAGTCAAAGACTTCGGTTCCGTTTTGAGTATGAACTTAATGTATTGAATGAATCCCGCGTTCACTCTAAATGATTCGCTGGTTTCTTTAGACTGAAGGTCCAACAAGTTGTCGATCCATGTTTTTCTCCACAGTTCCAGAATTTGAGACCCTTTCGACGAGTTTGGTTCCGATTTGAAAACTTTCCAGTGGCTTTTGACCATTTTGATGAGCGTTACCTGACATACTTGGCTCTTGCTTTGATCGAATAGCATGGTTAATATCTTGGTAGGTAGTTCAGGGTAAAGAGTCACTATTGACGATGCTGGGATGAACTCGACCAGAATTTGGAGAGTATGATAAGTTTTCTTCTTCTCGAAATCAGCGTTCATGCAACGGTCCAGAATCCCAATTATTTTCTCATTTTCATAGCCTTAAAAAAATTAACTAGAAAACGGATCTTTCACCTAATGGTAAATTCTAGTAATTGTAAGACCCCTGAAAACTACCAATTGAAAACATAGCCAGTAGACAGTAAGAAAAGAGTCAATGAGCGCAAGGAAACAGAAAAAATGGACTTAGTTTTTGATTTAAAAAAATCAATTTTCGGATTTCAGAGTAAAAAAAATTGCCTACACGCTCTTTGAATTTTAACAACAATTCATGATTGACTCTTTTTTGGATAAAATCAACTCAATTTGGCAAAAACTGGATTAATATTGGGGTAAAATTTTCATTCCGATGGAAAATCCGAAATATAAACTCTACTATCGAAACTTGAAGTCGATCACGTTTTTCGTGACCTTTACATTTTTCTTGTGTTCGATAGTGGAGTTTGCCTTCCATTTAACAAAGGAAATGAACTGAACTTTAAAAAAATCAAAAGTTGAACCGCGAAAAATCAAATTTGAGCGTGAACATATTTTAAGATTTTTTCCTGGAAAAAAAAAACAAATAATCATCACGACCTATATAAAAGTCGACTATGTTCATTAAATCTTAAACAATAAAAGATTGCATAAAGTTTGCCCCTTTGATTAAATATGAGCTATGCCTTAAAAGTTAGCAATGCCTTAAATATGAGCGATGTCTGTTTTTGTCATTTGCAATCAAATATGAAGACCCATGAAAGTATGAGCTACCTTATTTCATTGAGACTCTAGATTAAGCGGGACAGTTGAATATGAAAGGACAGATGAAAAGAAAGACATTTAGTAAAACTTCGCTTGATGCTAACTTGAGTGTTTTGAGAAATGGAGTTTCAAAATGGAGCTGAAGATTTCTCTCACGTGGCCCTTCGCCATCTAAACAAAACAAAAAAACAGCATAAAAAAGCAACTAATCACTGAAAAATAATAAGTGAGAAAGAAATACAGGGCTCGTGAGTGATCGTTGTGAGCTGAATACTATATATATATAGTATTCAGCTCACAACGATCACTCACGAGCCCTGAGGCTCAGCAGGGCGAGACCCTGGAAAACCATACACAAATAGGGTTAATTACTGCAGAAAATGTTCATCTAAATTGGAAATATCTATTTTTTTAGAAAAATATCGGTATTTATTGAACTCAATCATGTATAATTGTCTTATGCTGTCAGTTTTTAGCAGTTAAAAAAATTTTATCCTCTGACTGAACGATTTGTGAGGCCAATTTGTTCAAGTAGTTAAATTTGGAATATTTCATTAGCGAGCTCTCGTATATTTATTTCCTTAGCGAAAATTTATCTTGAGTGAGAAAATTGAGGGGCAACTTTTTAGACAACTGATCAAGAGTCTGAAATTAACCGTTTGATTAAAACTTGAAAAACTGTTTCAATTTCATGTTCACGAAAAATTAGCATCGGGAGTTCAGAATTTTAGTATAAGAAATATGGTTTTGCAACAAGAGAAATGTTTTCCAGACATTTTCTGATGAACAGATAACTACCAATAAAGTATGAGATATAAAGGGTTCGGCATAAACATGATGAGCTCTTATTTTTCGGTAAAAACTTCCCTTGATTGGATAATCGAGCCGTTTAAAAGTCCAATTTTTTGTATGAGTTTTTGATTTTGAGTTCTTTTGGAAATAATTTTTATTGTGCTGTTTTTAGTACAAAATAACAATCAAAAGATAGCCAACAGACAGTTGTAAAAGTGTTAACGAACACAAGGAAACAAAAAATAACAGAACTGTTTTTGTTTGTTCAACTTTCGAATTTCAAAGAAAAAATATACGGCTTTAAAGCTTTATCTATTTCTAAAACACTTTTTGATTGAGAATTTTAGAGAAAAAATCATTCCAATTTGAGAAAACTGGATCAACAGGCAAACTTTTTATTGCGCTGGAAAACCTAAAAGATAAAGTCCACTTTCGAAACTAGAAGTCGTTCACAGTTTTCACGTTATTTCACCTATGGTAATTGGAAAGCGTTATTTGCTATCCTTTTAGCGAAAGCATTTGAATTGAACTTAAGCAGAAATCATAAGTTACGCCGCGTGAACAAGTTTCAGACAATTTCCTAAAAACACCACAATCAATTTAAACATCTTCTCTTCATTCAACGACACTTTCAATGCAAAAAAAGAAGAGAACCAATTGCTGTTTGTTTGGCTCAATCTTCTACGGTAAGCTTGCCTGATTATCAAAAAGGTTTTTCGTGACACCGAGGCACTTTTCTGATTAAAATTTTTGTAATCTTAGTGACTTCTGAAAGCCTGAAAATGCTACCTCATTTAATCCTCAAAAAAGCAATATTTGAAAACTGAAAATGTGTGAAAGATTGATTCGATCATTTGCCATAGTTTCTTCATACTTCTCCTTAAAGTGATCGGACAATAAACTAACCAAAAAAATGTTTAGAGAAAAAAATTAGAAAGTTTTGCGGCAAATTTCGCTCGGTAGAGCAGCCAACTTTTCAGTTTTACAATACAAGGCTGATTTAAATTTTCCGGAGAAAAGGCATTAAACTAGATATTTGAAACCCGTTTTTCTCAAAATGGGCTGAGTTTAGACAAGAAACGATAAGACAAAAGTTGCTTAGAAGTTCACCAGAATTATTACGGTGTAATTTGTTTTGCAAAATTCGGACCAAACATTTTACCCGAAAAATAGATCAATTTTAGCTTTTTTACTCAATCAAAAATTATGCCAAAACTACTCAGTCGATCATTGACATAATTATATCAAAGTGAGCCTCCTACGTAGCTCAACAAACTTTAAGAAGGGTATACTCTCCAAAAACAATTTAATTTCTCCAATGTTTTGGAGAGTACACCCATCTTAAAGTTTGTTGGGCCAAGTAAGAGGCTCACTTTGATATAATTCTGTCAGTAATCGACTAAGTAGTTTTGGCGTTACTTTTGATTGAGTAAAAAAGCTAAAAATGATCCATTTTTAGGGTACAAATTTTGGCCCGAATTTCGCAAAACAAATTGCACCATATCAATTCTGGCCAAATTTCAAGCAAATTTTGGTCTTTTTTGTCTAAAGTAAGCCCAATTTCTGAGAAAAATGCGTTTTAAATTTCTAGCTTAATGCGTTTTGTCCGGATAATCTAAATCAGCACTGTAGTTGCTATTCTCAAGCACAAAGGAACGAAACTGATTGATTACATTGCTTTATTTCTACCGATTTTTTAATACTGAAATTGTGATTGGCTGGCAAAATTTTTGCGCATTCAGTCCGACGTGCATGAGGGATTCCACAAGAAAATACCCCGGTTTTGTAACGGTCATAGTCAATAATGGTTACGACGTAGCAGTAAGTAGACAAATACTATATTAGCCAATCAGAATCGAGATAGAAAAATAACCGTTCTGGATTTCGATTGGTTAATATAGTAATTGTCTACTTAATGACGAGTATGAATACATGGTTGTCTACTATCCGACCGCACTCCGTCTAGAGGTTATACCTCCACGTGAGTTTCCCACAAATCCCAGACTGCCATCTCCAGTTTGTGGATTGTGGGGTTGTGGAGACTGTAGTCCATGTGTGTCCACCCACTGAATGCTATGTCAGTCCACAGGGCTATCGTCCTCACAGTCAAAGTCAGCAGAACAGGGTCTTGGGTGCTGAATCGCGGAAAATATTACAATTTAACCGACGCTTGAAATCAAAATTAATCAGCAAAGTTTCACATATATTTGCATCCTTATTGGAATTAAAGTACCCATTTTCACAAGCAATCATACTTCATCCAAAAGCACAATAGGTACCCACGTACCATCACCAACTAGTTGGGAAACTATTTTAACCTTATAAATGAAGTGAGGTGATCTAGAATGATGTGATGGTAGAGTTCCAACTCAGCTGAAGAGAAGATGACCATGTGACCATGAAGAGCACAAACTAGAGACGCCGGCGGAAGACTCAAAATCTCACTTTCAATCGTCAATTCGGTCTGAAATAGCAAAACATAGTCAACGGAGAGTGAGAGTGTCAATTCTTGGGTTGAACTCCATAGAAAAAACTATTATCAGCCAATTCCATGCATTGAATCTATGGAAAATACTTAACACGCTAATTATGAAATGGTATGAATAGCATTTTCCGGGAATAAATTTGAATTTTGTTCAAATTAAATAGATAAATCACATTATCAAGAACTTAAAAAGTGGAAAAAAAAAATTATCTGTGTTAACTTTGAAGAAGTAACTGTATCATTTTTCAATTTTTGCAAAAAAGCTGCCCAAACAATTTCAATTTAGGGAAATATAATGATAAACAATTTCTACGTGACTATAAAAATATTGAGAATTGGCTATACAATTATTCAAAAAATGCTAGCCATACAATTGTTTTTAGACGCAAAATTACTTCTAAACTCAACAAATATCTTGAGAAAAAAAACCTGCCGGCAGTTTAGTGATTTGTTTGCACTTTTGTAATTTGCCTTCTATGTAGCAAATGAGTTTGAATTAAACCTGAAAGGAAACCAAAAGTGAAACAGATAAAAATGGAAGCATTAAATGAAGTCAGATAGAAAAATCAAACTATTTTGTGAAGAATGATACTCTTCAACACTAAAATAGACAGTCAGTTTTCCTTGTTGTTCCGAGTTTCGAAGAAAACGGAATATTTATGCTCGGTGTGGTTTTTGTTTATTCAGTCAATTTTCGCCGATCGAAATAATAGTTTTCGACAAAAATTTCATATACCCCATTGAAGATATTGACTTCCCGAGTTCAAATTTAAAAAGATATTTTACCTCGTATTATTTTTTGTAAAGTTCTTGGGGTTTGATAATTGCCATGTTCTGGACTGAATTATGCGCGCTTTGAAGAATTTATTCATATTGTTGAGAGCGTAACGCGATTTAATTATGCGTTGCGAATCATCCTGCACAACAAAATCGTTCTAAATTGAATTGAAGCTAGCTAATCGGATCGTATTTATTTCGTACGACTCAACATTTCACTTTGATATTGTCAAAAATCTAAAGGTTTTCAAAGCTTCCAATTCCCAAAAACTATTCGATATGAATTAAGGGACAGTCGGAACATTCAAGTCTTTGCCCCGATACACGAGCAGTCTTGTTTTAATCTTGCGTCAGTTTTTAAATATTAACCCTCATCTGCACACAAGAACGTAAGCATAACAAACTGGCGGATTAACAACTGCGGCTAGCTGAGCTGACTTTATTACGTCATTTGATTACAGCAACTTGTAGCATTGATATACTGAGCCGTACAGGCTCAAATTTGATTCGCCGACTGCCTTCACGAGTACGCATGACCAGTTTTAATGTCCGAAAATGGAAGTTTTTCAATTCTACCTTCTCTATTCGATTATGAGCTTTGATAATGTGGATAAGATAGCGGCGAAGTCCCATTTGTTGTACCAACGGTCATTAGTATCAAAATAAGAAATCAGTCGCGCTTGTACCAAATTGAATAAACGGTCCTATATGTACCAAAATAAGATAACGCGAAATATAAAATCGTTCAACGGACTATAGCCGAAAGGTACTATAAGTGCTCTGAAAACATTAGGCTGGGTGTTCGAATCGCGGTAGCAGCTAAGATTTGTATGGTTAGATTATATAACATTCAAGGAAACAGTTCACCAAAGGTGAAATGTAATAAAAACTTACGTAGTCATTACATAATTTCAGGCAAACTTAGGTAATAAATTGAATTTTGGCTGTTTCAACCGTTCATATTCAGTTTCAACGATTAATATTTAAGCTCCGGCCGGATGAAAACATGATAAACCAAAATAATCATAATACGTATAATACGGAAAAATAAATACAATTAAAAAATCCTCAGAAGGGGAAAGTTGTTATTTTCGAGAATTATCGTTATTTAACCAACTGAAAAAATTCCAAAGCTGTTTATTTACGATGTTCTTTGTTTCGTTCGACAAAATGCGAAACGCGAAGTCACGAATTATCCGGGAAAGCACAGACACAATGACGAGCGAAACGAAATATCGATGGAAGTTTTTCGACAGAAATTGGTGAAAAAAGCAAAGAAAGACCGGAAAAATCTATTAGGAAATATTTATGACAATGTATTGGAGTCAAGTACGACTGTTGCGTCTTAAGTCCAGCCTCTGCAGAACGCAAAAAAATTGTTCATCCAATTCCAACAACGATGTCCAAAGCTTCCATAACTGGAAAATGGCGATTAACGTTGACCAAAAAGCGATTCCTTCTTGCGCATGATATTGATGCTGGTGTTACAATTATCGCTTCGTACGAAATCTTGACGCTTTTGTTTAATTTTGAAGCACTTTTGAGCGACGGAACATTCAAGTCATGTCCCTCACCTTACGAGCAGCTCTATGTATTGTACGGTATATACGAAGATCGTTGTCTGCCGTTAGTTTTCGGGCTCTTAAGTGGAAAATCAGCCTGTCAATACCGAAAATTTTTTCAAATAATCAGCAAAAAAATCAAACGCTTGACTGATCATAGATGGGTCCCCCAAATCATTGTGACAGACTATGAACGAGGTATCATTTCGGCCCTTGAATCACATTTCCCAAAAACAGCATTTTGGATGCTATTTTCATTTCACGCAGGCATTTTTCAGAAATTTATCGGAAATTGGTTCCGAAAAACCTATTGTCAGGAGCCAGGCTAAAGAAAATAGTGAGAATGTTAATGGCGTCAGCATATCTACCTGAAGATCAAATTGCACCTCTTTTTGTTGAACTATTGAGTCAGCCTGAGGTAGTTGAAAAAATTGCTCGATACCCAGAGATGCTAAAATTCTAAGATACTTCCACAAAACTTGGATACAAACGTTCCGTCCTAAAATGTGGAACATACAAAACAAGCCGGCACGTCTCCGAACAACCATTCTCCAAATTTGTGGCTGGCTACTTGTTTTTTGAATTAACAGGAAAAAACCGTGGAGAATCAACTGGAGCTTATAAGAATGCGAAAGCCCGCTCCAAAACAGACCAGAAAATGGAGATTATTTAATGAACGTGTTCAAGCTCTCAAAAATTTATTGACACTTGGCAACCGCGAAAAAAAAATTACTTTCATGCAATGGCCGATTTGTGTGGAAGTATGAGAAACTTATCCTAAAATTTTAAAACTAATCAAAACTTTAATTTGGAACTGAATATTTTGGTGTCATATAATCAAGACTGTATGATATTTTGGATTGATAATTGAATTTGATGAAGTTGCAACTTGGTAAAAAATTTTGGTACTTAAATTTTGGTACAAATGGGACTGATTTTTTATTTTGGTACAAATGGGACTGATTTTTCATTTTGGTACAAATGGGACTGATTTTTTATTTTGGTACAAATGGGACTGATTTTTTTTATTTTGGTACAAACGCGAATCTTTTCGCGTTTTGGTACTCCTCAATACCCACCAAGTTAGCTCTTATCACAAACTCATGTGTATATACTGGGTATCTCTTGAATAAAAATTATCGCTCCTTTGAATTTTTTTCGTTGTTATCCACAGTGTAACGCACGAGTAACAAACAGGTACACGCCCAAGGCCGCAATCAGTCGCTCCAATAATTTTTCCTGTCAAAATTGACGTTGTTTTAAATTAGAGTAACAGCAGAAAAATTTTTTCCGGTCAGCTTAAAAACTTGTGTAGAAGAGGATTAAACATATTTTGGATCTCTTTTAACCTAACATAACAGTATTTATATTGGAGTGATTCTCATCAAGCCAAATAAGAGAGAAACTAACCTTGACAAAGGGCAATGTTGCTGCATGTGCCATTCCACTTTGACTCAAAACTGCTTTGCTCACAGCTGAATCAACCAAAACGAAAACTACTCAGCTAAAAAAAACTTAGTAAGTTACATTATTTTAATCAAAAAAAACTTACGTAGCTTTGCTGCATTATTGAGTACAGCAAACAGGAGCCGGTTCAATTCTTCCAAAATTGATATTGTTCCTACTTCAAGTTCAAACTCAATTTTATTCTTTTGAATCCGAATGGTTTTCCTCAACAGACATGCAACTGCCTTGATCACTTGTTCTAAAGATGCATTTGTAGTTTCAACCTGGCTCGGAGCACTTAAGCTGAAAAAAAAAACGAATGATTGAAGATGTTTTGACTTAATAAAAACAAAAAATTAAATGCATATCTGTCAATGTTAACTTACGAAATTTGACGTGACAGTTGTTTCAGGTGCGAAGCGAAAAACTCCAATCCTAAAATAAGCTTAACTTTTAATATGACAGGAAATGAATACCATATATGTCCCTAAAATATATTATTTTTGAAAACAAAAAGAATTCCGTGATTAATTATCATTACGAGACCAAACTGTGCATTTGGAAAATTGTTTGAACATGTTTAAAGACTTTTCTCTGGAATCCAGGATCATACAGACCCAAAATTGTGCGCCTATCCAGCGCACAGTTTAGCCTCGTAATGATTTCTCTGGGGGTTGATAAATTAGACGATAAGCAAATTAGACGGAGGTACTTAAAAGGAAATTAGACGGTTTTGCAAAACTGCAATTGTGAGAAAATAGACGAAAGTGATTGAAATTAACTTTGTTTGCACACAAATTGCGTTAGAAAAATAAAATTGTTTGTAGACAACAGTTCAATTTCGGTGGCCAAAAACTTTACAAGTCAATCATGCATAATTTATTCAATTCAAAACTCTCCTGTAATATTCAGATTTGACATTGTATGTTCATTTGAACTAATTGTTTTGATAGTTATTGACATTTTATGTTCTTTTTGTATTTGTGAAACTTGACTCTTAAGAAAAAATTTTGTTGGCCCTTTCCTTTTCATAGCTTTTTCGTCTAAAATGCCAGATCTGTAAAAAAAAAAAATTCCGTCTAATTTCGTTTTTGTAGTATCCGTCTAATTTGCTTATCGTCTAATTTCCTAGGCCCCGATTTCTCTACTCTATTGTTAGAACTTAGCTCTAAGAACTTAGATAACAGCCAAGCAACACGCGACTTATAAAATTGATTTCAGACATAATTTTCAAGCAGCAATACAATAAAGCGCATATAAACAAAAAATATCCCACGACAGAGCAAAACAAACAACCCCAACATAATAGCTCAATATTGTCGGGCTGTTTTTCTTTTATTTATATTTAAACTTTCCTTGAAAAATTATACCTTAACAAGCCACGTTTCCTTCAAATTAGTGAAAACGAAATTATTTAAACATGAGAAGTCCACTTTCTTTATATCCTTGAAAAAAAGCATGGTCACTGTTTGATTATACCATCCCCGTCTATTTAACTTCAACGCTGGAAACCTCCAAGGACTTCTTCAATACGTCCAGCCGATGAGACGTACGGGTTCTACAAGCTTGGGTTGATCATTAGGGACTATCAAGTTGGCAGTATTTTCAGATAAGAGTAGCTTGCGGTCCACTTTCCAGCATGAAACTGCTAACTCTACTATTTTCATAAGCATTGGGCAAAATCTCTGCTACCTTTTCAATGGAAACAAGCCAAGAATTTGTGATATTTGTGGTGTTCAAATGAGGCCGAGTTTGTTTATTTCAAAAAATCCAACACCTGTTGCAGGATTTGCAGCAAAGGACACTTTGATTTGTGCAACACAATGGACATTAACATGTAGATCTTACTCGACTGAATCTCGTGTGGATATTGCAGCCAAACTCATTAATGAATATCTTGTTTTTTTTTACATTCACAAAATTACTGATCATGGCACATTTCAGAAATTTCTTGACACATTCAGCAAAAGTGGGAAAGTATAGTACCTATCATTCAATACTTAAAACAAACTTTGATCAGAAAACGCAGGCTTCAAAAAAACTCACGGTGAATTTTCGACATTCAACTCTTTCAAAGAAATCATAGAAGTTTTTACCAATTTCTAAACGGCTAAACCCATAAGTTTTGTGTCTGGGTGCCTCTCCTTCTCGGTAAGTTATCGGTTCAGTCATTTACATAATTGTAAGCGGCGTGCAACTCATTGCAAAATCCTCTCCGTTCTGAGCTGCATCAATGATCGCTTGCTTTGCTTCCCTTCAAAAACTTCAATTCGTTAGTCTCAACTAGTGAAGAAAAAACACTCAGTGGGAATATTTCTGTTTTTTAAACAGCCTGGATTTCGTTCAAGTCGTTTTGACGAGTGTTCAATTTCCGGAAAAGTTTGATCAAATCGTTTTCACTTCCTGTCACGTGTTAAAACTATAAAAGACTATTTTAATTGGGTGTTATTTTTGTTTAGTTTGGCTTTGAAAACGTTGATTAAAACCTGAGCGTAAGAACTCATATGACCAAAAAACACATCTTAATCATTGTGCAGCGAAATTATTTGTACTTAAAACCAGAAAAAAAAAACAGGCAATGAAGCACATTAAATTTGCACAGCAATTTATGCACGGGAATGGGACCAATGCACTAAAAAAAATTTTCACTGATGCAAATCCTTATTGTCCGCAATATCATTGATGTTTTTATACAGTCAAACAAGACTAGTTAAAAGGAAGCAGTTTTTTTTAAATAATAAATAGAAACTCATATTTTAAACGTTGTAATTATTGATTTAGCATTTTTTCAACCACATCGTAACGCATCGACAACGCGGATCAAGGAAAAATAATTGTCGGGACCCGTAAGCGTAAAAAATCTAAACTGAAAACTCAAGCAAAGATCAATATCAAACCAAAAAATTGAGGAAAAAATTAACTTAGCCAACAATCCTACCCCCACACCCACAAACTCATCATATCAAATTAGCACCAAAGGCAGTTCTAAAAATTTGAGTTTCACGACGTTATAAGGCTCACTGACTACTATCTATACCTCTTCTCGTGGTCCCAGACCCTGCAACATTGTACAAGAACTTGACTCGACAAAAAAGAGCAATTTTGGAGATTTATTACCCAGTTAACGCCCGGAAAAAAAATCGCATTCCCAAAGAAAAAACCGACTTTCAACATTTGGTAAATCACCTGTCGTAAGCTTTCTCAATCTCTACTCCCTTGTGATATGAATAAAAATGTCATTTAAATTCCATTTTAATAAATTAATCTTGAAGGCAGATGAAATTTTTCAAATACCATTTCATAATAAAATGTGAATTGAATTATCTGAATATAGATAACACATTAATAAGATTTGTACTTCGAGAAGATTGAGAAATAATCAGAGTGAAACAAAATTTGTTGAGGAAGATAATACTGATTTTATACCAGTTGCCGCTTATATGGACAAAGGGTTTCGGAAGCCGACAAGAGAAAGCTTTCGTGGAACAATTACTGAACAAAACAACGATTAACACCACTCCGAGTTCAAAATTATCCATTGTGTTTGCACTCGAGATATATCAACTGCTAAAAATAGACGAAATACAGGCAAGGCAACAATTTCTCCAGACAATAGTGCTTCGCTTTGCGTAGCTTTTCTAGCCACCAGGTATTATAGACCAAAATTGCTATACTTTTAGGCTTCAGATGAATCCGATTATACAAAGCTGGTATCTAAATAATTAAAAGGCTAGCTATAGACAAAAAAACTACCAAGCAAACCAAAATCCAGAAAAATTGTCGCTCACTTGCAAATTCAGAATGTTGCCGTCTTGCGAGCATGGCTGTACGTACACTACAATACCACCGACCTAGTATGGAACCCTGCCGATGTCGGAGGCCAGTGAAGTACAATGATAAAGAGACTATGTTATCGCATTTATACGGAAAAAAAGAAAAGCCCAAAAAACGCAATTTCCGAAAAACTTTATAAGGTCAGATTAAAATGAAAATTTACATAAAACAATGCAAATTTACGAAAAAAAAATTATTAAAAATAAAAACAATTTTTGGCTCGCAGGAAACAAACATACTCGTACATAAATTGGCAGAAGCTTATCTTGAAAAAAAAACAGCAGTTTTCAGTTAATTTATAGTGTTGATTTAAATTATCCAGGCAAAACGAAAAAAACTTGGAAAACTAATACGCGTTTTTTCCAAATTAGGATGAATTGATACAAAAAAAGATGCGGACAAAGCTTTTTACAATTTTAGCTCAATAATATGGGGTAATTTATTTGTGCGAAAAGCGTGCCCAAAATTTGACCCCAAAAAACGGATTATTATTTTTTTTCCAATCAATATTTACGCCGAAAGTACAAAATTATGAATAGTAAATTAAACCACACCCTCTTTTAGCTTTTAAACTTTCTTGGTAGCATAAGCATCTCACTTTGAGAATGTTTTGTCACCAATTTAACTGGTAGTTTTGACGTAGATTTTGATTGGCTAAAGAGCCAAAAGTGATCCGTTTTTATTGTCAAAAGTGAATTGCACAATATACTGTTTGATTAAAATGAAACCAATTTGAGAAACACGCATTTAAAAATTCAAGTTTTATTTTTTTGTCTAGATAATCTCAAGGGCAAGCAAAAAAAACGCCAAGCGGTACCGTTAAAAGGGTCAAGAAAGGAAAAAAAGATAAGGAAAAACAAATGAATTTTGTAAAACAGATATCCTCTATGGGAAACGATCCTCAGTCATCGGACATTCAAGTTTTTCAGTTGACTGCTCTACTAAGTTGTGTCACTGATGACTATAGAAACCAAATACAAACAAGAAAACGTCAAAATGCAAAAACACAAATTTTGCAAATAATAAATTAAAAGCAACCACACTCACTCTGCGAATATTAATTTTAAAAATACAAAGTCAAATTGTGCACCAACTAAATTTTTCGCAAAACATACTGAGTTGGAAAAATTCTGGAATGAAAATTCTGAGTTTTAGTTTTTGTACTGTTGTATGAAACAAAATCAATTTTTTTTTCGCCTCAACTGGTGTCTGCTCACAAATGGTCGGCTTTGATTCCCCTTCGTAAATTTTGTTCCGTTGCTAATTTAGTTTTCAATTGTTTTCCTTGGCATGAAATTTTGCCTAGAAATGAAATTTTATCTCGACACAAGGAAATTTTGGTACGTCCAGTTTTTTTCATCATTTTTTTCGACTTACTTTTTTTGTGTTCAAGTTGTATCACAAGTGATGCCACGCGTAGCTTCGCCTTTCAGAAGTTTTCCAACTCAGTTTTATTAGTGAAATGGCGAAGTGCATAGTTTATGCACAATCTGACTATATATTTTCCAACTTACAAAGTCAAATTTGGTGTGGTTGCTTTTAGTTCAGTCAATTTCAGATTATTACATGAAAAATTTGTGTTTTTGAAGCTCTCGTTTTAC